CCCCGAGTGACTATTTTCTGTTCCCTAATCTCAAAAAATGGCTTGGCGGTAAGAGATTTGCGGACAATGAAGAAGTAATCGAAGCTGTAAATGGTTATTTTGAGGAGCTTGACGAATCAGTCTATAGAGATGGCATTAATAGACTGGAACACCGCTATGAGAAATGTATCAGCCTTGGAGGAGATTATGTTGAGAAATAAAAAAAAAAAAATTTTAAAAACCTTGTTTTTCTTGGTCAGGCCGGAAACTTATCAATCCACCCTCGTATGTACAGTCACATATTGCAAGTCAACGTTCAGATACCTAATTAATAGTAAACTAGGCAATAATTTCGTAAACTTTTATCGCTTGGTTGCGCTAAAAAGTCGATCGTAAGTTTCCCGGGATCAGTTTTGGAATTGAAATTATAATAGATTACGTAAATTATTTCCAGTTTTGTGGAGTTTATGTACGACCTGGGCACCGGATTTGCAATTGTACGAAGCGATCATAAAGTGAGCTTGGGAGAATGGCACGAAATAAAAGTGTCGCGAACTGGAAGACTGGCAATTTTGGAAGTAGACAATCAAATACCTGCAGAAGTTATGTCACCAGGTGCCTTTACACAACTGTCATTGCCTCAAAATCTTTTCCTTGGAGGCGTGCCCAATTTCGGAATTGTCTCATTGCAGGTAAAATATTTATAATAAAATATAGCGGTATTTTTGATGATTTTAATGCAATGGAAGTGTCATAACGGAAACAGAAGTAAAAGGGAACTTTTGGTGGAAGCGGCAACGAAAGCGGATGCGGAAGTAAAATGTTTTTTTGGCTTCAAAATTGCACTTTTAACTTAAGACTTACAACACTGAGGAAACGCTATATAAAATACATAACCGCTACAACTGCGTTGATTGGTTTAGGCCCTAAAGTATAATAAAGTTATTTGCACAAGGGCAATATTATTGTTAACAATATTTTGTTGGCTATAATGCTATACATTGTCGCTAATACTTCATAAACATAAACAGTTGATGACAATGCTACAGTGGGGACACTGAAAGCTGACGTAGGTACCTACACAACATGCAATTCCATTTAAATTGTATTTTAAAAACGGTTAAGTTCAGCCAACAGATAAAAGTTATACATTTTTACGACTTTTTTTACTGATTTTAATAAATACTAGTGACCCGCCCCAGCTTCGCACGGGTGAAATGCTGATACTAAATATATTTTTGTTTTGTTTAGATTATTATCGAAAAGGGGAATTCTTCAAAAGATACCCCCTGAACATACTAAATATACTACAGAATGTCTTTATATACAATATTCACAGTTTTTTTGTCATTACACAAAACAAACCGGCCTAGCGGCCGGTACCGCCGCAACCGCTATGTCCCTGCATTTTAAATGTCTAATATATTCGAAAATATTCATTTAAATTACATGTTGTAAAGGGCCATATTGATCTATATTAAATGCACAATGTATTTAAGGTACTTAATTGGATAAGAATTAATGCTGTATTGCCTACAATCGCTTCGTAAATAAGTCATTATTTCTCATAAAAAGTAAAGGATAAAAATGGTTATTGTGGGTTATCCCTAAGAGATAGACATATACCATCCCAGACTTTTTTGTAGACCCGTTTAAGATGTACAATATTGTAGTACATTATTTTGATCTATCTCGTAGGGTTCAGCCAGCGTTTACAATGTAAGCGCAAAAAATGTGTTTATTTACGACATCACATTAGAAACCTCTAAAATTATCAGTGTTTCCCTACTATATTATGCATGTATTATACATATAAAGCTTCCTCTTGAATTACTCTATCTTTTAAAAAAAACCGCATCAAAATCCTTTGCGTAGTTTTAGACATTTAAGCATACATAGGGACAAATAGCGGGAAAGCGACTTTGTTTTATACTATGTAGTGATGAGAAATAAGATTTTGTAAAGTTGCGGTAAGCTTCCGTTTTAAAAATGCGGAACTAGATGCAGAAGCGGATGTGACAAGTATGCGGAACTTCCGTAATTACGGAAGCAGAAGCAGAGGTCTGTTGCAACAGTAATATGTAAGTTCAAGAGTTTCTCTTTTGGGTAATGTGCATTCATTACCATTACAGTATTTGATTTTTGTAGCGAAAATTTGTTGTTAACGTATTACTTACACAAGAAATAATCCTTTGTAGAAAATTTATACTTCACTTCTTTCATGTCAAAGAAATGGATTCTATATACTTTGATTTACGTATCTGACCCATTTCCACCATAGGAAACGAGAAAAACAAGTTACTTTTGAATTCGTGGAAAGAACTTTGAACGCATGTCGAAAAATACACGGGAATCGATACTTGGCAGTTCATTTTCCGAAGCGAAATTTCGATGTCAAAGAAGTATAACAAATGCCGGCGAAAGTCGTTTCGCGTCGAATAATAATTTATTCCGTAATGAGTTTATCGATCGGTTAAACACGAAAAATTCTAAGCTATACTTTCCTTTAGAGTAGGCACTATAAGGCACGTATATATATTTGTACATACAAAGTTATTAGTACTTCTCTCGCTATTTTTATTACTAAAAAAATAAAGAAAATACTAAAAATTGGTAATTCCAAATAGAACCGTGTAGAAGTATAGAAACCTAAAACACGCTTCGATACCCACAATGCTATCATCAGTTACAGACTAAATCTAAATTTTAATTAATTATCATATAGATGGTAAGCAAAAGTAATTCCGGGCTTATCCTGCGCTTTCAATATAAGAAGATGCTCTTCGTATATATTAGAAGCGTCAGAATCAATTCGAACTAGGTTCAATATATTGAAAATCAAGTTGGAAAAGGTCATTTCTCTGTAGCAGTACACGGATCATGAACGTATGACTTTGTCCGTGTGGGTAATTTTTTTTAGCCAAACATTCAAGGTAGGTTAATTAAAATTATCTATTACGAAGAAGAAACATTAAATTTGAATTGATGTATACTTCGTGAAGTAATCGAATAGTCATATTTAGTGCGGTTATAAAGTAATAATATGAATAGGTATCTGTTTTTTCAATGTTTGGATTTGGATAATTTCCGGTTCGTTTGGGATGTCCCATTCAATTGGACCCTCGAGATTTGATGAGAAGTCATCTCTATTTTCAAACATTTCAATATTCTTGGTATCGAAAACTGTATGTGTAATGGAATTTTTTCCGGATAACATTCTTAAAGTACGTCTTAATATTCGTTCACTAGTGATGTATATAAATAACTTCATAAGTAGCGATCATCTCACAATTAGCCAAAACTTCCGAATAGACACTTATATATTTTTTTAATTTCAATGGGTTCTTCTGCCATACATGTTTTTTATTCCGATATTACCACACAGTTCTTAATATCATTGATGTCACATTCTATCGTTTGGATATAGGACCAATTTCATGGGACGGAAACACGTCACAGGGAGGAGAAGCGCGCCATTTAGTCTTTAATCGATGTTGCCTCCAATTCGCTTTTGAATGTATAGACAGAGAAAAAGTAAAGAAAAAGAAGACACAACTGTAAAATTTTCGTTTTACTAATGCCAACTACGAGCTTTTCTGAATACGTTATCAAACAATTATTTACAATACAAAATTAAAAAATTCTGACGATGGTATATCACCCGATTCTAATATTTTCACTAAAATTTTGCTCGTTATCTATGGTAGATATCACACGAGATTTTTGGTTAACGATTTCGAATATTTATTATTAACGATACCTATAACATCCAAAAAATATTCATAAATTGTAACTCAGTTTGAAGACTTTTACTGAAAGACATCCGATCCCTTTGAAGTAAAATTGTTTGAATAATTTTAAAAGACTTCAACCACTTGAGTGTAAAGAACATTTCTAATTTCTTTTACCTCTTACGATTAAGGTGTATCCACTACAATGAGCTGTACCTTTGTAAATATAACTTTTGACATTTGATAACTAAATTTAACAACCTTTTTTTAAATTATCTCCATTTCCTTTCTACATCCATTCTTTTACAAAGGGCCAATTACTCTCCAAGAGTAAAAAACAAGGTTTCCCTTGTACCACTATTTCCTTTGCGCCATTTTGTTTGTGGCGCGGAACAACATAATGGGCAATATAATTACATACCTTGAAAAAAAGGTGTGCTTATGTAAATATAATATCAGAATAAACCAAAAATCCCATGTATTTTCTTATGAAGATTCATCAACAAACCTATAGTGAAGATGAGGGGCGCAACAACGTTACAGTTTGACTGGGTGCTCCCATCATAATACTATAGATAACCAAAAAAAAAAGGCCACCAATGTATTGAATTTTCTAATACTTGAAAAGATCGAGTTGGGCTGCACATTTACGAGTTTGAACTATTTGAACCGAACTTTCAAATATCACTTTTTGGGCTATTATCTGAATCGACTGGAATTGACTGGGTGCCCAACCCAATCGAGTGGGTGCTCAGGCACCCGCAGAGCCCCCCTTGTTGCGCCCCTGAATAATAGAGTCTGCTTGCCTAGTAGCGGAGCGCCACGGTAATAGGACGTCAGCTTTCGATAAGGTATCACGGGCCCCAGCAGCACAGGAGCACATTACGATCAGAGAGCAACAGATGACGGGAGCCTTCGGGGGCTTCGAGGTGCGGAGCACCCGCAGAAGGAGCGAAGTTGACGATGACAGCTGTCAATGATGACTGATGGTCGTGACGTCAGAGAAGGCGAGAAGGGGGTAAAAGAATTTCGGTCTCAAACTGTCATAGCTTATCTACTCACTTTATTGGAAATGGCTTGAAATGACTTAATTATGAATAACATACCTACAATAACTTAACAGTCACGTAAAAAAGTCGATGCTGGGACTGTGGCAATTAACGGACGGACAGAAATCGGAACTATGTCTTAATCCAAAAACATTCTTGGAAGGATCAATGTCGACTAATAACTATTGTAATCAACAATGACGTAGACCTAAGTTAACAATATCCTTTCACACAGTTCCATTATTATTCCCCAAACAAAAATGAAAATGATTTAGGCCTTCGTTTTTACCTTTTATATGGAACGTATTTTACTTTTTTCTTATTTTCATGGTACCCAAGAGAAATATAGAAGCAAAACATTAGATACCTACAAAGAAGAAAATGTAATAAAAAATACTGTTGTCCCATATGCAGGGTGGATCATATAAAAATGGCTCAGAAAAAATAGATTTTCAAACAAAAGACTCAAACGCATCGCGGGTTAATTTTTCGAAGTATTGTTTATCTGCCAGTTGAATGAGATGTAAAGTGTGACTTTAACATACAATACAACGCTGAAAATGAATGTACACAGAAATCCAACAAAAGAAACTGGAATGAAATATCTAAAAATCTCGTATTTTGCAGCATTACGTTGAATGATACGGAGCTATTGTTTTCCAGATTTTGTAAAACCGATTTTGTATTTAACCGAGTTCTCATCAATTACAATATCTTGCTGCACGCTGATGGAAAACCCGAAAATCGTCAAACTTCGTAGTCTCTTCAATACTTTATTATTCTACAGGATATATGCATAACTCTTACTTTAGGTAGTTACATTACAAAATTCTTCAATCAATTAAGTTGGTAAGTTTCAGTATTGACTGAATTTAATGATTCGATCTACAAGGAAATAAAATCCAAATTACTTGTAAATTTTTGTTATTTGCATTGTATATACGATACATGATCATGTACCTATGTAAGTTATCGTTTTCATAAATGAATCAATTTCATCAATATCTGAGGCTATTAGTATGAAAGTTGGTTAGACAGCGACCTCTCATTCTTCCTATCTTGAAAAATACAGCAACGTACGGCGGACGAACGCTTTATGGCTTGTTTGGGTAAATCACTTGGAACCGATACACAAATAAGCTTTCAGTAGGCGTAAACTATTGTATTAATACAGATAGGACAGTAGCGTACTAGGAAATAAAATAGAAACATAACTTACCAAAAAGCAAAATAAACCTAACGCTTTTGTTTCACATTCACTGTCCTCATCGGAATCAATACCACTGTCACCGACATCAACAATTAATTCTTCTGTTTGTATATCTATTACTTGCTTATTATCTAACATAACATTTAAATAAATCATGTTAAACTAAATTATTACGCCTATTTATTTTGTATATAAACTTTAAATATCCACAACAATAAAATCAACAGAATAAGTTAATTTTTTCAATTTAATTTTATAAACTGATCCCTGCTTAAAATATTTAATTTACGCCCCTGATAGGAATACTGAAGAAAAAGAGCTGCAATTGTTATAACAAAAACTTCCTACTTTTGCCACCGCGCATCCACACCATTTTTAAAATTCCGCCAGCTTCATGCGTCAGGCCTGTACATCTCTAACTCTATTATCGGATAATAATAAAATTTATTCCTACATCTACCCCTTTAAATTTGTATTTGTGCTTGTAAGTACCCTTCGTGTCTAAAAAAAAAGTGTCCTATTTCTTATTGCTTCCATAAAGTCCTCTGTTCTTCTACTCCTTCTAGTATGGCTAAAGTAAGTATTAACAGTCACAATGTGATTATTTAACTTACTTGTCAGATACCATCCCGAGGTAAGAATGTTCAGTCTCTCAGAATCTCTGATAGCGAGACTCGAGTCTCTGTTTCTCATCGAGTCGCTCTGGTGTCGCTGAGAGAGACTGTCGAGAGATTGTCAAAAAAACTGTTTAGCGTCTCTGAACGAGAGACTCGAGTCGCTCGTAGAGAGATCTTCATTTCGTATCCAATCTCTGAACGAGAGACTCGAATCTCTGAACGAGAGACTCGAGTCGCTCATTGAGAGATCCTCATTTCGTATCCAGTCTCTGAACGAGAGACTCGAATCTCTGAACGAGAGACTCGAATCTCTCAATAAGTGGTGTGTCTCGATAGACATGGTTAAGATTTTCTAAGCTCAACATATTTCAGGGATCCCAGTCTTTCTATGAGAGACTCGAGTCACTCAATTTTTCAGTTTTATTCGTTCAGTCTCATTGTGAGAGACTCGAATCTCTGAATTAACAATTTTATCGTTCGAGTCTCTCATACAGAGACTGTGAGAGATCCATAAAAATACCTCGGCAATAACTGAGAGACTGTGAGAGACGCTCTCAGAGACGCTGAAAGACTCTGGGAGACTAAAAATTTTTGTCTAGGGATACTGTAAAAAATCGTTTAGGAACTTTCAAAACAGTTTGCTTTTTTCGCACTGTGGCGACTGTTAATTTCGCCTAATTGAAGTTAAAACAAAATAAACGCATGAGTATGACATTTTGCTCCGTTCGGACTGTTTTCCATAAACTACCGGACAATTTAATTTATAAAGCATTTTCATCGCATGAAATTAGTCCTATTTCGAGGCGACAAAATGTAAATACATATCAAAAACTGTAATAATCAGCATTAAATTTGATAATGATATCATTTTTTCATTCAAGGTGAGAGTCCGTTCGGCATTTACGGGATGCATTCAAAAAGTAGTGATAAACGGTCGACCAGTTTCAATTTTGGCGGAGGCACTGGGAGGAGTGAACGTCGACAATTGTCCTCATCCGTGTGTGGCCCGTCCATGTGGAAAAGCCGGCGATTGTATACCACAATTAGAATATTTCACGTGTCAATGCAAGCCGGGTTTCCACAACGAACAATTGTGCGTCTCTCGCAGCCCTCCTTCGTTCCACGGCAAGGATAGTTTTGTTCATTTTAACGATACAAAGACCCTGCTTGCTTTCACCTCCGACCCATTCAGCATCAACGTCAGGTAAGTACTGACAGCAATTAATCACGCGACACGAACGGGGCCTTTTCTTAAAGGCAAAAACATTAGCACTTTGCTTCAAGTAGACCGAGATACTCATAATGAGTCAGGCCGAAGCTTTTAGGATGAGCGACTACCAGATGAGTATAAAAAATTAAAACATAATAACAAATTGGACTTCAGAGTACCTTCTCCACCTAAACAATTATTCATTAATATGAAATAGTATTCTGAAAATTCATTTCTGAATTTTTACCCTCTACACACTACCTCAAATTAATAAGGGAAAAATTGTTGCTGTTGTCACACCACCGCCGGGAATCGAACCCGGGACCTTTGGCTTTACGCACCAATGTTCTGACCACTAAACTGCGAGAGGTGACAACAGCAACCACGACCAACCGACCTACAAGGTTAACGATCCGTCGAACTAATGGAACTATATACTGAATATACTATGATTAAACATATATACAATTTAGACATCTTGTAGAAGTGAGTTAGTTTAATATGAAATATTATTCTGAAAATTCATTTTTGAATTCTAGAAGATGTCTAAATTGTATGTATGTTTAATTATTCTCATAGGGTTGTCAGTCTTAAGACTGATTGGACACGCATCTCCATTCTTATCTGTCTTGAGCTAATATTTGCATTCCCACATTCTTAACTATTAACTTTGGTCTACCTCTGCTCCTCTTAACTTTTGCTCCTGCTTTAATATGCCTCTACTTAGTCCTTCAGATCTGAGGTGTTCTACCAACCTACCCCACCTATTACTCCTCGACTTCCACAACGTCCTATCCACGGTATTCTCATCGAACGCTTCTAGCCTTCTCTTTTCCGCAGCGCATATGGTCCGTGTTTCGCACCCGTACAACGCCACGCTCCGAACATACACGTTTAACAATCATTTCCGAATTTATAAATTAACCGTTCACGTGCAAAGAAGTAACTTTTTTTCTGAATTATCGGACTATCGAATACCGAAAAACGGCAACTTTTAATTTTTCGTCTCCTACCTTTATATTCACTTTTTCCCTACTATTTCTTCCCTTGTACTTTTATTTATTTCCTGCTTTGTCTTTTTAAACGTATCTGTAACTCCTCTTTGCTATATGCTAATACTTTTTAAAGTTGTCTTGTATTTAATGTTGTCCTAGAAAATTACTGTAGAACATTTAAAATATTTTGTAATTCAATTGTGTGACACTAATTTATTTCTAAATCTCTAACGCAGTTACAATACTTAAAGACGTTATCGATTCAGTTGTTAATTTACCTTTACTGATTACGTTTAAACACATTGATTTGTACGCATGTGGAAAATTATTGACAGTGTAATTCTGTATCTGCAGACAGAAGAAACTTTACGAATTACTGAATTACAATTGGTTTCAGATGCAGACTTAGTTCCACACTAACAGACGGATTACTGCTCTGGATCAGTTCCGGTCCAGAGAAATTCCTTTCGTTGGGGGTGGAACAAGGCAGTTTAGTTTTAAGATTTGTGGCACATCAGGAAGAGGTTGTTGTCCTTTACAATACCACCATCGTTACCGATAATTTGTGGCATCGAATAAAAGCAGTAAGGTAAGAAAATTTAACGATTTTGTATTTTTGTAAATAATTGCATTTTAGTTAACGTTAATTCACAACCAGGGCCTATTATTTTTATAATTATTATTTATTAGGTTACACCCGCAGTTTAGCTCATGTTAATGTTCTAATTGGGTGTCAAAGATCATTGACGACCACATAAAACTATTTTTTCTACCACTTGGGAACAGCATTTTTTTTTTAATAAAAGGACCCTTTATCCTTTTCTGTACTGCTAATAATATAAGTACAAAATTTCCTGATAGATTTTGCTCGCAGCTTCGCTCGCATTGATGTCCTGTGCCTAATGAGGGGCATGCTAATATAAGGATTTCCCCGCAGTTTCCTCATGAAAATCCCACCCAATAAAATGGCGATACTAAAATGAGGATTTCCTTAAGGGTTTTTCATGTGGGTCTTAAGGGTATAAACTTACAATTAAATCTACCTTATGCGGGTCAATGAGGCAAATCCGTTTGAAAATACTCTCGGTGAAATAAAAAGACTTATAATAATAATCCCCTTGCCTTCGTCTTGTCTTCGTTTCAATGAAATCTTTTACATTTGCAACGAACCAACAAGTGTAGGTACTTCCTGATATCGTTATTATAAACCAGACGCATCAGGTCGAACGACAGTAAAACAACAGCAATTTAAAGTATTGTTCACTACAAAACAGCCCAATAACATAATCTTACTCAAGAGCAAACAAATTTTACAAATAAATGATTTATGTATATATTGTATTTTTTCATTAATAATAAAGTTCATTTTTCCTTTGCCCCTTCCTTGTCCTAGAGGACAACCTCATGGATCCCACAAGAGATAGTGTGGCAACCCACTTAGGGACCCTACCTGCACCCCCCTCAAAATTCTAGTCGGGACGTGTAATAATAATAGTAGCAAACAAACAAAAAAAAAACCATTTGCATTTATAATATTAGTTAAGAGTAATGTAAAAAATTTTGTCAATTTTTATCTCTTGCATTAGTAAGGAGCTTCATAAAACCAATTTTTAGTGGTAAAATTAATAAATTTTTTGTGAAAATTTTCCCAATTTGTCAAGATATATTTCAATCAAGTAAAGGTCGAAACTATTCAATTCAAAATTGTGACCATATTGAATGGACTCAATTGAACAAGATTTGAAGTTGATTCCCTTTATTAAAAAACTTTTTCATATAACTTTTTGACATCATTATAAATGCATAACATTTTGTCTGGTGCTCTGCAATAATGGATCAAATGAAAATTTTTTCTATAAAAAATATTTCAGAATAACACACATCTTTGAATTGGATTTCTTGTACTTATATTTCTCTGTACTTAAATTTAAATCAGCACCTTTTTAAGTGGAAGGTACTTATGTCTGAATAGATAAAGTTCTCACCTTCCTGCCAGAAGCACCATTTTAATAATATGCATACATTCAAAAATAGAACGTTGAATATGCTTCAAATACTTCGTCAATTCGGAGGAGTCGACGTAGGGTGCAATTATAAAAACGTAATGAAGATGATAAAACATATAATAGGATGGTACATCAACATATTTCATTGTTGAATAAAGCACTTCGACACTTTTGTGGTTCTGAACCTTGAAACAGAAACTTACGCGTTCCTATGTTTGATGAAGAAATTTAAAATTTCGGTGCAATTACAAAGCAATACTACAAAAATTAAGATTCTTATGTAGCCTTTGAGCTTCTACCTTTTGAGAGATAAAGTGCTGAAAACTAGTAGGCGTTACGAAAGAGTTAGTTCTACAAGGACATACTGACCTACACTAATGTTTGAGTTTGTATTTAAGTTTTAAACGTTAAAAGAATAAACGCCTACTAGAGTCAACACTGAATCACACTTAATCTTATCTACTAATAAACAATACATGAACTAACGAATACAAAACATATAATGATGCTGGTATTTACCTACTGGTTGAATGCGGCGTTGCGGACCGTATTTCTTTACCAGGGCCGGAATTGAATTTATTTGTACTTTTAACTACGTTTCGGACATAAAAACATGTATTTAATTTTCTTGCTTTATAATGTCCTATCCCTTCTGCACGCTCGGCATTTATTTTTGTTACACCCTATTTATTTAACGTACATAGATTTCTAATGGTATGACCATTATATATCCTAATGTTCTGAATATTGGGATCCGGCAAATGGTCATACACCACCTGGTAGCAAAACTCTTAACTAAAATGAGGGATAAATATCCGAGGGAATGGTATACATAAATAGTAAAATTGTTTATTAAAATAATAAAACACGTTAAAAAAGTAAAAAAAATTTTGATGATTAAGTCGACGAAGTTTTCTTCTAAAGTTAAATCAAATAAAAAGTTAATATGTTCATTGAAAAGCTACAATAGCATTTCAGACATAGATCTTCACTCTTCACCTACATTAACTACTTTCCAATAAAAACTAACCGTTTTATATATGTAAAAAATATATTCGGAAAATTAGAGAAAAAAGTAAACTAATAGAACCTTGGATGAAAGCAGTAGGTATCAAAGAAGTGAATTCCGGAAGAAAAATTTGTTCACGTCATTTTAATGCACATGATTATATTTCAGCAAGTATTTACCATCAGCCGTAACCTTAATATTTAAAACTAGAATCATACTAAAATTATAAAGTGAGAAATTATTTATTCCTGTGTAATTGACTTAACACAATTCTAATGATACGATATAAGTATTTTGAGGTTAAGAACCTACCTGCTACAATACAACAAAGTTGCAATAATGAGTTTGCAACGTTCTCTTAAATCGGCTTTGAACGTGCAAGTCATTGATATGATATTGCTTAAATCACCCAGAATCACCTCACCAATTATATAAAGTGAATCACTTTTTAAATCCGAAGTTTGTAAAAAGTAGGCAGTAAACTTAACGGAATTTGAAGGCTAGCTTCCGGATTTGTTATTTCCGAATTTTATAATGTGATTGGCATTAAAAACACGCTCACCTTCAACGAAATTTCCTTTCCGAGGCTTTGTGTCAGCCCAATCACATATTGTGTCAATACTTATCATTTTATCGTAATTTAAAAACTTGGAAATTGCACGGTAAACTATAGGAATTACGATAAATTTTCCCTAATCGGCGCCATGTTTTTAGGTTCCTCCCATTTGACGGATCCCAATATTTTGTCGTAAATGTTCATATGCTGTCGTAGAGTCCTAAATATTAGATAGGATGGTAGTGAACGTGACTACGGTTATGGTACTGATATATTTCCCTAATTGGGATATGTAAAGTACTACGTGCCAAGGATTTAGGTTAGGTTATTCTAGGAAACGTTTCCCTGATGGTCATGACAACCGTCCATATTTTAATAATGTGTTTTGTTACACTAACTAAATTAGAGTTTGTTTATTACAACAAGGTCAACGACCACAGGATTACTACTTGTGGATAACGGCCCTGCTGTCACCACCCAATTCGTGCAGTCCCTGTATCCGCACAGGGTACTCCCCGGACTGTACGTCGGTGGAATTCCTGACGCTCGGAAGGCTACCAACGGCAAGTACGTTGCAGGAATTAAGGGATGTATAGCGGACCTGGTACTTAACACGGATCATCACCTCAATCTGGTAGACTATCCTACCGCACAGATAAACAACGTGGACGAATGCGACGTTTGACCATTAAATGATTAAAATAATGGCACACGGTCGGTGGCCATATCAACAAAGAATGACCAAGTGATATAATAATATATTGTATGTATAAAAACCCAGTGAAGTACTGAAACGGGATATGTGAACTTTGATGTGAACGGCAACAACTACCTCTTCAAACATGTATAGTCCACGCATTATGAGTTGGCGGTATTTACCTGGAAGCATTTATGTTCGGGCAGCAAATGTTTTGTAAGATACAGGGTCGAACTTCTTAAAAACAAATGATTAATTTCAAATATTATTTAAACACGATGTTTTTCGTGCAAATTTTACTTCAATACCTGTTGTTAATTCATATTTAAAACTACAACCACAACCCAGCTGCATAACAGGTAGTTTATTGTTGCTTATTACCTTCTTGTGATAAGACCATCGGTAAAAACCGCCAAGTCATAATGTAAGGGACTATACTTCTAATAATAACAATCTGAATGCACTAAAAGAAATGTATACGAAATAAACAAAAAGGGATAATCAAATATTCCAATCCACTTTTTTTAATTATGTTAATTCAGACAGCTACACTGAAATAATATTTAATTTAAAAAGACTTAAATTGCGTTGCCTTAATTAAGTAAAGATCTTGATTTAAGAATACTGTCTTACAGTGAGAAATGGGAAATTTTTGTAATTTGTACTTCATCGTTCAAGACTTTAATAGTTAAATATCAAAATATATTTTTTCTTACAATAGAATAATTTAACATTCATTAAAGAATCAGAATATTCTTTACTTAAAACTAAAACGATTTAATTGAAGATGACATATTGATGTTTTCATTTGAATCAAATTAAGAGAAAAGTGTTAGGTAGCGCAATTTTTTCACTGAAAATTTTAAATAAGAAGGACTCTATTTATGGCACTATTCACCATAGCGAAGTGGTCCTCAATTGGCGTTTTCGACGTATTACTTTTTTGATGTTGAATTCAAATCTGGTCTCATAGTTATCCCAGCACATTGAAATTTTAATAATAAGTCACATTAGAACCACAGCATATATGAAGCTGACATGACAAATTTATATCTCTTCTTTCTAAAGTGCACTACAATTTTTTAATAAATCCAAAAATTTGTTGCTCTAGTCGGTTTTTGGAAAGTAGACGAAATGGTAGTTAGATAGTTACAAGTTGGGACTGCACAACGTATAAAAATATTCTAACATATTTTTGGATTTCGTAACAAATTAGCGACAAATTATAGTGCATTGTAGAAATGAGAAATATAACTTTGTCGTTCTACCCTAATATACATAAAATCATTGACATTATGAGATTAAGACATTGCGCTGGGTAATCTTACTCTAATTAGAATTCGTATAAGTACAAGAAATAACGTTTCTTCGACATTGATGGTATGAGACTATGTTATTTGTTTAAACACTTACGCGGATTAGTAAATATATTTACGTACTACAATATTTTGATATTTAGCTTAATAAATAAAGATAATTGTGCAAACGTTCTCATTACATGAAACGAGTACCTACTGTATAACCTTTTTAAAATTTACAATTTCGATCAAGTTCTACAGTTAAAGATTCTACTATTCAATTTTTTAATACAACTTAACCCTCTTACATATTAACAAAATCATAAAGAGTGATCCTAAAAACACCCCGTTCAGGGGTTTGCAAATTTTTGGTTGATTTGTCGTCCAAATAATACCTTATGATAAGACATTAATCACACAAAAGTATAAGCTGGAGCATAAGAACGATTTCAGAGATATATAAAGTCAATAGATTAGATTAGCTTTGGTTGTACTATTATTATTGTAAAGCCTAGTAAGGATAACAATAACAATGATAATAATATATAATAATAATACGTCAGCCTCATTACCACGTCACAGTACTAATCTACAAAGAGGTTTTATATTTGTTTTTGTTTTTTTTATTTTTTTATAGGTTTTGTTTTCTTTTTTGTATTTTTCGGTTTTCTGCCTTTTTGTTTTAGGGTACTTTTTAATATATATTACATAAGATATTGTTCTGTTGGAATGTGGCACTAGTATTTTACTTTATGATACTGTGCATAGCCCAAAAACCTTACGATTGTCATGATATGACTGCAACAGCACACAATTGGAGATCCACTTTCACATGTACAATTGTACAATAATACTCTCGAATTGAGGTATACTGTGGGACAGGGGCGGCCTTTGGGGGTGGCGAACAGGGCATCCGCCCGGGGCCCTGCTCTTGCAGGGGCCTCGCACACTCGCGCAACAATCTAATTAGAAAAATATTAGGCAGTAATAGTACATACTACTAATGTTTATTTGAATTTCTTAATAGTCTTAAAAGAAGNATCGCCCAATGATGAAATCATTGAATGTATTTAAAAATTGGTTATTATGTGCCCAGTAAAATTTCTTGTTTAAATTTTATTACTAAATAATACGATAATTTACGAAATTGTAACAGGGTTATCGCAGTTAATGATTTCACAAATCTGTTAGAAACATGAAATATCTATTTTGAGTGATTGACGTATTTTAAAAAAATTCATTTTACTGTAAAAGTACATCATACACATAATAGTTTTTGTTCGAAAAAAGAAATAATAATAACAACAATCAGTTGTCCTTGTTCCTCTTGTATCTAATATCAGATTCATAATATCGCGGAAATTTTTTATTATAAATATCTAATTGTAATTCATTGGGTAAATAAATATAATAATTTCGCAAAAAAAGAACGACCCACTGCCTATAAAAGTAACTATTTTTAGAATTCATTACTCATTCAGAAATGAACCGATTATAAAGGTATTACGGCTATGGTCTTTATTCCCATTCATAATTTTGATTTATTTCACTGCTAAACAAAACCTTTATTGTTCCATTGTGTCCCACATAATTCGTTGTGGTTTTTACGGCAAATTAGCCATTCAGCCCAAAAAAGTATAGGTAATATGTATCGGAATGCTTTCAAGGTTATCATTTGCAATACAGAAAAAAAAACACGCAAAAACGTTTGTTCGTAATTAAGGAAATCAAAGTGCATTCGTATTCATTAAGTCATGTGGTACAGTTCTTAATTGGTACAAAAAGATTTAATTGAAACAAAACATTTCCTTCTTTTTTTTCGTTTACGTCAATATTACAAACTAAGCGACAATCGTCACATTAACGAAATAATAAAGAAAAAGGAAAATTTGCTAATGATATAACCAGGGGCGGCCTTTGGGGGTGGCGAACAGGGCAACCGCCCGGGGGCTCGCTCTTGCAGGGGCCTCGCACACTCGCGCAACAATCTAATTAGAAAAACATTAGGTAGTAATAGTATACACTACTAATGTTTATTTGAATTTCTTAATAGTCTTAAAAGAAGCCGCAAATTTGCTATCTTTGTCTTTATCAATTTTTTTTAATTTTCGATAAACAATTTTAAAACTGTAAACTTATTTATGAATCACTTTGCATTTTTCAATCATCATTAAAATTAATTCCACAAAGACGAGGGCCTCGCAAAAATTTACCCGCCCGGAACCTTCCAATGACTAAGGCCGCCCTTGCTGTGGGACTCATCATCGTATGTACACATTCTTTTTCTGATATTTGCTAATTACTTAACTGCATTTGAAAATATTAACGTAATAAATAGCTCATAACCGTCTCCAAGAGCTCACTTAAATAATTATTATAACCGTAACGAACTCGTTTGAGTAGTTTTTGAGTTTATGACGTTAAATATAAAAATCGACTAGAGATAGTTAATGAGAAAGATAGAAAAGTACAAGATATCTTATAAAAAATTGACAATTTTCATTGAATTATCATCTTCACTCACTGTGTCATGAGTCAATTTTTATCACTTTGAACCCCTACATATTTGAAACCTTTCTCATGCTCAACTCGAAATTTTTTTACGATGAATATCTCATGATAAGGTAGGTAGCATTAAAACTACAAACAAATCAAAAATTTGCGAAGCCTCAAACACGCTAAAAAAACCCCTGTTTTTGGAGTCACTCTTTAAACTAAAAACAATTTTACTAAACTGCCTGTAAATCAACTCCATTTAACATTGTTCCATACGATTTCTTCTCTAGTTCCATACACCTCTATTGAAATACTTTTTTAATGAGAAAAGTTTTTATCGAACAGCTTTATAAATCTTAATTAGGGGTAGTTGTTGCCTCCGAATTTAGTGATATTGCAAGTAAGTGCGATCTCTGAAACACTAATCACAAAAAGTCTGATATTCTGACTGCCGCCCCCCGCACCAACATAACTAATTGTTCACCCCTCTCCCCTTTCTTCGGGCGATAACTTTATTGTACGTCAAAATGCAAAAAACGCGTTTCTGTCAATAAAATAAAAATGAAAAGAAGCCAACAGTAGTGACCTTACCACTTCTACGCACTTGTTAGCTTTATTTGGTGTAAAAACGTTCAAAGTAACCATTACAATTTGTTACTTAATTTAAATTTGATATGACTGAACAATATTTGCCATTATCGAAGAATTTTTTATAAAAATAATGAAACAAACATCTCTATGAGAGCGCAATATTATATAAAGGTGTAATCACACGACCCGTGGAACGGACGCACCACGGACGGCCTGTATTAACTCGTACTGGCTCACTTTCACGGAAACGCATCGCTACTTGTACAGCAGCAGAAAATTAATGGATTTTCAAATGCCTAATTAGAAAGAGGAGACTGTGGTAAATATTAATTAAAAATTAAAAGGAATACTCACCCCTAATTACCACAAATAATTTTATTTGAGCGGACACGTGTTTCGCCCACTTCATACGTGGGCATTATTAACGCGAAACCCACGTATGAATCAGACGAAACACGTGTCCGCTCAAATAAAATTATTTGTGGTAATTAGGGGTGAGTATTCCTTTTAATTTTTAATTAATATTTACCACAGTCTCCTCTTTCTAATTAACCATGAATAACATTATCACAACATCTATTCACTAAACAAAAATTTTATTTCTTCTTTTACAGCTAAAAAACTAAATATGACCCTTTAGATTAACTTTAATTACCTAAAAACCTATCATCCTCAGTGACAACCTACTACNGAGACTTATTTCGCTACGTATTATGCACATCCTGGGGGAGTACATGCTGCTGCGAAATTCCCGCAGAAATAATTCATTCTCAAATAAGTCCGGTAATTCTATTGAGGAAAATATACCCCAAGTCCTCAACTATAATTATCCCAGGGCGAATGGCGTATTGCCACGGTCAATAATTCCTACAAATATTATTTCTTTGTCGGAGCGTTTTCCTGGGGATCATCCAAAAATTACATTCTTCTCGAATATAGCAGTAAATTCCATTTTGAAAAATCAGTCGGAACCCCAATTCCGCAACTCCTTGCCCTGAGCGAACAGCAGATTGCCATGCTCAATAATTCGTGAACGATAGATCAAGTAGTATCTCCTTCTGGGAGTGTTTTCCTGTGCATCATCAGAAAATCACTTCCTTCTCGAATAAGTCGGTAAATTCCATCCCTCAGTATCTAAAGTCCGCAACCAATAGTCCCGAAACAAACGGCACATTGCCACGGTCAATAATTCTTAAAATTCGATTGGAGCAATTTTTCTATTCTAGCACTTAGTCTTGCTATGTATGATAATTAGCCAATGTTTAAGACTTTTTGCAGTTTTACTTAATCATCAAAAGTGGTTTCCCTTTGTTAAACGTTTTCAGATAGTAATACCTGTTTATTTTTTTTTTTAGTTTTTATGGTTTCTACATATTAATTTATTGTTTTATACAAATATGTGTCACTGAATTAGTAACGATATATGTATCAGCAATTTATGCTTATTAATATGAAATCATAATCACAATTAAGCCAGTAAGTACTACTTCAGACACACTACTGGGTAAGTTATCTTTAGGATGTCCTTCAAAACACGGAAATCGTAAAATCAGTATTTACTCTCCGAATCAGATTAATAACAAAAAGTTGCATTGTATACATATAAATAATTCACAAAGTTACCTATCTTTCCGATTTACTTAAACAATTAATAATATGCTATAGTTTATATACATAGCAGTACGACAATAGCACATAGAAAACGTTCACTCACCCCCTCCCCCGAATTTATTCCATTATTAGTTTACTGGCACAAAAAAAGTGTTTTTTTATTGTGAAACATATTTTACTACTTAAGGTTGGTAGTTTTACCAAAATTAAAGGTCAGGAAAACAAAAAGCACCATAAACAGTGTAAACTGAAAATAATTTTAAAATCTTTGGTTAAATACATAGCCAAATGATGTGTGCATTCTAATGCAATCATTTTTTACTTTTATGTACATTTGATTGTAACTTAGTATAAACATTTCAAAGGCAACGCACTTTACTTTTACAAAGAACACAGTCAGTGTGATGTTAATCCGTTAATAAAAAGATAAATCGCTTAATTGCCGGTTCATATTTGGACAAGAAATCCATGATTATTTTATTTTATCACGGCCAAAGCCGAGGGTGGAAATACGTATGACTAATGTACCACTCTGGTTTTCCATTTCCAATTTTATTATTTCCTGAAGCTGTTGATAAAACATTTTTGTACTACTTGCAGGATGTTGTCATCAATTCCTGAAAGCGATGAGGAGTTGCACGCAAAAGGTAAACAAAACTTTTACTTTCCTCATCTTTATCTTTTATCAGCGTTTGATGATATTTCGGTAGAGGTATACGAGGGTGGATTGATAAGTTTCCGGCCTGACCAAGAGTCCTGCAACAGTTGCAGAGCAGCAGCTTACAAATATGATACAAAACACTTTCAAGAATTTTAAAGAATGAGCTAAGAGAGTTTTAATACGTTTTGGCCATAGTTCCATTGATAAGGATATTTTTCTTAATAATTTACAAGATGAATATTGAAAACTGAATTTTCTGCTACTTTTATTGGAGTTATCTCGAAGTACAAATCGCACAAATCGTGCTTCGTATGTGTCTGGGAAAATAAACGGGCCAGTACGCGTTCCGTACTGGATCGCCGGATCCCGGGCCGTGTAAACGAACCTTTATTATTATACGAGATTTAATTAAAATTACAAAACTGATTGTATTTTCACATATTAATTATGAAAAAAACATAATAACTTCAGTCCGTGTATTTAAATGATTATTATTAATGAATTTCAGAATCAAAGCAATACACTGAATAAATTTAATGAATAAACTAAATATGATTTAATGTCAGTATAGTTTCAAAATCAATTTATTAATAAGTTAACTCATTAATTTTGTTTTCTAGGGATATTAAGAAAGGAAAATCATAAGCAATTAATAATGTGAGAGAATTTGTATATAAAAATAATTACCTAAACAAGCAACGTCTTTTAATTAATTATTTACCAGTGTTACTTTGAACAGTTTCACTCACGCTTTTGTTATTTATTTACGTGAAATATCGAGGAATCAGGGTTACGCTATTTGTACAAAATAATAAAAAAATATTATTATAAATAAACAAATAAATGAGAGTATCAGATTAGTATACTTCATATCATAATTTAGTCAATATATTGTAAAAACTTATGCGAAATCCTGTTTTCTCTAATCTGCAATTAAAAAATAAATGAAAACATTTATTGCAATAAAGTTGGTACTAATTTATCAACAGTCTTTTGTATCAGTCGTATAATTATAGATATTCTATTTGTACAGGTAGTCAATTTATGTGTGAATAAGAAATTGCTTTTAACAATAAATAATTTGTTTTAGTGTTCCTTTCCTTCGAAAAGAGCAAGTTACGCATTACATGAACTGATTGCTCATTACACTGCCCTTTATTGTTTTTAAAAATTTGAAAGTTTATAAACATGGCGATTGCTTATTGTTATTAAAAACTAATTTTCAGAATTTCGGAATTCAGTCGAGACTTATTTCGCTACGTATTATGCACATCCTGGGGGAGTACATGCTGCTGCGAAATTCCCGCAGAAATAATTCATTCTCAAATAAGTCCGGTAATTCTATTGAGGAAAATATACCCCAAGTCCTCAACTATAATTATCCCAGGGCGAATGGCGTATTGCCACGGTCAATAATTCCTACAAATATTATTTCTTTGTCGGAGCGTTTTCCTGGGGATCATCCAAAAATTACATTCTTCTCGAATATAGCAGTAAATTCCATTTTGAAAAATCAGTCGGAACCCCAATTCCGCAACTCCTTGCCCTGAGCGAACAGCAGATTGCCATGCTCAATAATTCGTGAACGATAGATCAAGTAGTATCTCCTTCTGGGAGTGTTTTCCTGTGCATCATCAGAAAATCACTTCCTTCTCGAATAAGTCGGTAAATTCCATCCCTCAGTATCTAAAGTCCGCAACCAATAGTCCCGAAACAAACGGCACATTGCCACGGTCAATAATTCTTAAAATTCGATTGGAGCAATTTTTCTATTCTAGCACTTAGTCTTGCTATGTATGATAATTAGCCAATGTTTAAGACTTTTTGCAGTTTTACTTAATCATCAAAAGTGGTTTCCCTTTGTTAAACGTTTTCAGATAGTAATACCTGTTTATTTTTTTTTTTAGTTTTTATGGTTTCTACATATTAATTTATTGTTTTATACAAATATGTGTCACTGAATTAGTAACGATATATGTATCAGCAATTTATGCTTATTAATATGAAATCATAATCACAATTAAGCCAGTAAGTACTACTTCAGACACACTACTGGGTAAGTTATCTTTAGGATGTCCTTCAAAACACGGAAATCGTAAAATCAGTATTTACTCTCCGAATCAGATTAATAACAAAAAGTTGCATTGTATACATATAAATAATTCACAAAGTTACCTATCTTTCCGATTTACTTAAACAATTAATAATATGCTATAGTTTATATACATAGCAGTACGACAATAGCACATAGAAAACGTTCACTCACCCCCTCCCCCGAATTTATTCCATTATTAGTTTACTGGCACAAAAAAAGTGTTTTTTTATTGTGAAACATATTTTACTACTTAAGGTTGGTAGTTTTACCAAAATTAAAGGTCAGGAAAACAAAAAGCACCATAAACAGTGTAAACTGAAAATAATTTTAAAATCTTTGGTTAAATACATAGCCAAATGATGTGTGCATTCTAATGCAATCATTTTTTACTTTTATGTACATTTGATTGTAACTTAGTATAAACATTTCAAAGGCAACGCACTTTACTTTTACAAAGAACACAGTCAGTGTGATGTTAATCCGTTAATAAAAAGATAAATCGCTTAATTGCCGGTTCATATTTGGACAAGAAATCCATGATTATTTTATTTTATCACGGCCAAAGCCGAGGGTGGAAATACGTATGACTAATGTACCACTCTGGTTTTCCATTTCCAATTTTATTATTTCCTGAAGCTGTTGATAAAACATTTTTGTACTACTTGCAGGATGTTGTCATCAATTCCTGAAAGCGATGAGGAGTTGCACGCAAAAGGTAAACAAAACTTTTACTTTCCTCATCTTTATCTTTTATCAGCGTTTGATGATATTTCGGTAGAGGTATACGAGGGTGGATTGATAAGTTTCCGGCCTGACCAAGAAAAACAAGGTTTTTAAAAATTTTTTTTTTTTATTTCTCAACATAATCTCCTCCAAGGCTGATACATTTCTCATAGCGGTGTTCCAGTCTATTAATGCCATCTCTATAGACTGATTCGTCAAGCTCCTCAAAATAACCATTTACAGCTTCGATTACTTCTTCATTGTCCGCAAATCTCTTACCGCCAAGCCATTTTTTGAGATTAGGGAACAGAAAATAGTCACTCGGGGCTAGGTCTGGAGAGTAAGGAGGGTGCGGCATCAATTCAAACTTTAGATCGTTGATTTTAGCCGTCGCAACGATTGACGTGTGCGCTGGTGCGTTATCGTGATGAAACAAGATTTTTTTCTTCGCCAGATGAGGTCGTTTAATTTTCACCTCGTGGCTCAAACGTTGCAATAAGTCTGCGTAGTATTGACCAGTGATAGTATTACCCTTTGCAAGGTAATCAATGTATATAATACCTCTTGCATCCCAAAAAACAGTAGCCATAACCTTGTTCGCCGAAAAAATTGTTTTTGCCTTCTTTGGAGTTGGTTCCCCTGGTCCAATCCACTGTTTAGACTGTTCTTTGGTTTCAGGAGTGTAGTGGTGGACCCACGTTTCGTCAACGGTTACGAATCGACGCAAAAATTCGCTTGGATTACGCTTATACAATGACAAATTTGCGGTAGAAATGTTTTTTCGAATCAATTTTTGGTCGACTGTTAGCAAACGCGGCACCCATCTTGCACAGAGCTTTTCCATATGCAAATGTTGGTGCAAAATATGTTGCACACGTTCATATGACATCTTACAGGTCTCAGCTATCTCACGCACTTTCAATCTGCGGTCTCCCAGCACTATTTGATGAATTTTTTCGATCATATCTGGAGTTGTGACCTCAACGGGGCGTCCTGAGCGAGGCCCATCAGAGGTGCTCACACGACCCTTTTTAAACTCGGAAACCCACTGCTTAACGGTTGAATATGACGGGGAGGATGTCCCCAGTGTTGAGTCCATCTCTTTTTTAATTTCCTTCGGCGTTAACCCCTTCAAATAAAAGTATTTGATGACAGCACGATTTTCCTGCTTTTCCATTTTTACGAAAACCACAGAGGCGTCTTGTTCAGCGTGCTGTCAAACCTACACTAGCAAGGAGATCGGGCTGAAACTATAGCTACAAGCTATCCAAGGATGGTACTATAGAATGTCACCTCAAGGTAGGCCTAGTGGCGTCATCTCTTGGTTAGGCCGGAAACTTATCAATCCACCCTCGTATATACATATAACCTACCATGATATGAATAGAATGATTACAGTTATAAAAACACGTACACAAACTAAAAAGTAATTATCAGAATGCCAAAAATAGTAACAGTCGGCTTTCTTTTAGTATTTTGTGCAGTTTTTTTTGACAGCGTTCAAGGACATGGTTTGCTGATAGATCCCCCTAACAGAAGCTCCTTGTGGAGATTCTTCAGTTACTTGCCGGTAAATTACAACGATAACCAAAACTTTTGCGGAGGATTTGGAGTAAGTAATCACTTGTGCGTTTAATAGTTATAATAGTTTCAGAAATAAATTAAAATAACTTTTTAATACAAAATCATCAAGAAAATTTACAACCATACGTTCAACGATCATTTCTAACGAGATAACAAAGAATCTAGAACAAAATAGATTTGTCAATAGAATGAATTCATGATAAAAATTTCTAAAAATAAATAATAGTTTGTTATATAAGTGTGATGATAATTACGCAATGAATGTGTTATTAATTTTTGTTTTGCCACTTGTCGTTATCCTATTTTACACTAGGCAAACTTTTCTATCCTTAGCAATATCAGTGTTTACTGTAATAGCAGACGATAAAAAGATTTATTCCAAGCGAAAGTAACAATAATAATAGTACTTTATTTCTTTACCTTACATACTTTTTAGCAAAACTTCTCTTAAAACAATAAACTCTAATTAACATTTTTATTTCTGTTTTATTTACTCTCTGACTTTTAACTTTAAACCTTATATTAGATTTGTACCTACTTTTTCGCTTATCATTGCTTCTACCCCTATAGAAAATTTACTTGTTTTCTCACATTTTTTGATTATTAGTTTCAATAACTAACTCTCTCACATCCCACTTCCTTTCATCTTTCTACTCCTTCATGAAACTTCTTATCATATCTTTTTCTTATCCCTAATGTAACTTTGCTACTTAACAAATGGGCCAGAATCTCTTGTCTTGCTCCAGATAATCTACAAACCCATTCACTACAACCTTTTTTAAGTTTTTCCTGTATTTCCAGACCTTAATCTGGCCCAAATCTCCTTATATTCTTTGTTCTTGCTACCCCTTTACCGAGCCGCATGGCTTAGAGGTTTAGACCATTGCTTAGCATTCGGGAGGACACCGGTTCAATTCCACAGATAATCTTTCATTCTCTTCTGTCTTCATTTCATCCGTCTCATCTTTCTCACCCGAACCACCACCCACCCACGATTCCTGAAAGCAGGCTGCCCGCCCACCAACTGGCTGGTGGGAATGAAACACCCAAAAGTTTTTTGCTACCCCTTTCTAAATACTGTACTGTTTTCGGAACTATGTCCCTAACTCTCTATCTCGCCCTCTGTTTAAACCTTCTCTAATTTTCCAAAAAAATTCTGCCTCTCCCCTTCTCTACCATATCACTCGACAAACTGTTGTCTCTTCTATCCACTGTAATAAAGTTACCGCTCAGTCATTAGGAATATACGTTCCCTCTACCTCTACCAGCTCTTTTCGCTACTCCCCATGTAGAATTTTCTGTCTTTTGCGTTTTTCCCTTATATGTCCTTACTCATTCTATTACTTGTTGTAAACCAAAATACGTAAACTCGTTCACAATTTCAATGATCTCGCGTTTACATTTATATATTTTGAATGCCTTTCTTTTTGGCCCGTTTCTAAATACCATAATTTTCGTTTTCCCTACGTTTAGTATCAACTTGTTTTCGTCGACATATTATCTCCCTAACGTTTTTAACATCTTATCTAATTCCTTTCTAAGTAAAAGTATATAAGTATAATACCTATAAGCAATAATGTTCTACGACCTACAGTTTTAAAGTATAGACATATTTATNATGGTACATGTTCCGTTCAATAAGCCAGATTCTAAAGATTCTGTTGGCATAAAGATAATTTTTATGTAGGTATTTGTCTGAAAAGCTCACCTGTCATAATGAAAAAGTTTGATCTCATTTTTGTTGAAAAGAGTTTATGGTTTATCATTGTTTCTCTAAATTCTATAACATGAATCAATGAAACAATATGAAGTTATTCATTTACCAAAACGCGATAATTTATAATAAATTATGAAAAATTGCAGTTAGCAGTAAATATTTCTAGATGGCGATATGTTGTCATTTATATATCAAAATCAGAATTTCTTCTTAATCTTACCTGAACAAATTCCATGACTTATGTGTTTATAATCTGCAAAAAATATAGAGGTTTAAGTTTACTAGTCANGTTTTCGTCGACATATTATCTCCCTAACGTTTTTAACATCTTATCTAATTCCTTTCTAAGTAAAAGTATATAAGTATAATACCTATAAGCAATAATGTTCTACGACCTACAGTTTTAAAGTATAGACATATTTATAACGTAATTTTGACGAGTTGATGCAGCATGATAGGATGTTTTGGAGTCAGCTGACGACGGAATTAGACGTTTACTAAAAGAATGAAACCCACTAAATGTTTTATCTTCGATATTCAGGGTGTTTTTATAATTAAAAGTTACCAAGCTTTTGAAGTTTTGAGTTTATTTAAAAGTGACAGTAGACACACATCGTCTAGTTACGGAATCAGTAGGTTGAATTAGGTTACGGTATGGAGAAACTTTGATTCATTTATGTCATGTTCTAAGCACCATGGGTTTGAGATAGGTTACGATCAGAGAGGACTTCCTAATTGGCACTATGTAAACGCGACACATGGGATATGAGTGTTTGTATCTCGGTTTGCCTAAGTTCCCTTTAGAATCTTAAGTACACCCCTGGTAATATCGTAATGTACGACTTATAGTAAGACGGATGCCAATTCGATTATCGAAACGCAATTTTTGATTTTTGAACATTGTTTTTTTTTTTTGATGCGCAGTTATTATGCTAACTAGAATAATCGAATATATGCAGTTTATTAATTAAAGTAATCTTTTTTACAATTCAATAAAATGTGGGTAATGTAATTAAATAAAGATAAAATGATTCAACTTCTTAATCTTCTGTAAACAACAAATCACAACGGCAATATTCACTTTTTGATTATTTACCAACATAATATCTTTTACTCGAAATACACATAATCCATATTTGTGTAAATTATAGGTAGGTACCTAATCGCTTTCTAATCTTTCAACAAACTAAAGATAAACGATCTACAATATCTTAAATTATTAAAAGGTAAGATTGAAGTATTAAAAGAGGTGATAATATACTCAGAAAAATATGTATAACACTCCATATATGATACGGTACTTATTAACACAACTTTACTTTTGCTGATGACATATTACATAAATAAATAATCTTGTATCTTGTTATGATAAATGCAAAAAATTTCTGATTAAAATAAACACTGAAAGTTTGACCGTACCAAATTACCGCAAAGTAATTATTTTTGAAGTGAAACTTCGTTACGCACGGTAGGGTAAGTTCGTTTCATGCGAGTTGCTATGTAACGAAATCATGCAACGCATTTCCCTCGCTGTCTGTCCCCATGTATGCTTAGATCTTTAAAACTACCCAACGGATTTTAATGCGGTTTTTTTTAATAGATAGAGTAATTCAAGAGGAAGGTTTATATGTATAATACATGCATAATACAGTAGAGAAACACTGATAATTTTAGAAGTTTGTAATGTGATGTCGTAAATAAACACATTTTTTTGCGCTTACATTGCAAACGCTGGCTGAACCGTACGAGATAGATCAAAATAATATACTACAGTATTGTACACCCTAAAAAGGTCTAACAAAAAGTCCGGGATGGTATATGTCTATCTCTTAGAGATAACCCACAATAACCATTTTTTATCCTTTACTTTTTAAGAGAAATAATGACTTATTTAGGAAGCGATTTTAAGCAATACAGCATTAATCCTTATCCAATTAAGTACTTTTAAATACATTGTACATTTAATTTACTTAGACCAATATGACCCTTTACAGCATGTAATTTAAATGAATATTTTCGAAGGTATTACAGACTTAAAATGCAGGGAGAGGGCGGCTGCGGCGGTACCAGCCGGTTTGTATTGTCTAATGACAAAAATGCTGTGATTGTTGAATATAAAGACATTCTATAGTATATTTACTATCAACATTGCACCCATGTGTGTACAAATATTACCATTAAACTAATTCCTTAACCCCTATCCCGGTATGTTTGTGTGCTTGAAGAAGTTTCACCTCAGTAGTGTGTTGTATAATTACACGTTGTATTTTACACTGCAATTGTTACCTCCTCATAAATCATTAACTAGATAAATATTGAAAATGGTTTTGTTTGGTTAAAACTTTTATAATTTTATTCTTAAAAAATAGGTTCAGTGGTACCAGAACGAGGGTAAATGTGGTGTATGTGGTGACAACTACGCCGATCCACAACCAAGAAATAACGAAAATACGGGAACATATGGGAACGGGGTAGTTACCGCTCAATACCTGGCCGGTTCTATTTTAAATGTCACCGTTTTATTAACAGCCAACCACTTAGGATACTTTACCTACAGGTACATTCATCTAATTTGTAAAACTTATTTCCTAAAATGAGTTAACTGTATAAGAAACAAACAATAATACGCGGTTAATCCGATTTTGAAATTTTTCGATTTAGGCATGTATTGTGATATTAACTCCGATCAATTATAATAACACTATAATAACTTCAAGATTAAATGTTAAAGTGTCAAGTGATAATATACCTAATGCACCTCGTATTTTAAGATCCTAACTTTGTGATGATGCACAATCTTTCTTGTGAAAACACATTGTGTTAGCATAATTTAATGACTGCATTATGAATTTATTATTAACTTTTTAATTAACTACCTTGTAATTACCTTGTTACCGCCAGGTTTTATTCTAATTGAATATCAATCAAATTGCAATAATCAATAAGATAATAGCATTTGTATGATATTTTTAACAATATATATTGTTTTAGACTAAATCATAATTCTTAACGCTTTAAGTAGGACTACTGTTCAGAATTTGTTCCAATTTCATTATTATACGATATCTTTATGACTGCTTCATTTTATAGTTTTATTATTTATCGTACGTTTGTTTTTATTTTCAGTATATGCGCCTTGAAGGATCCCAATGCCCATGAGCCTGAAGAATGTTTCGTTGATCTACCATTAATAGATGGCACTTACAAGCATTCAGTAGATTCCGAAGTGAACATATATGTTAATCAAATTCAATTACCAGCAAATTTGACTTGTGACAGATGTGTGTTACGTTGGCATTATAATACAGGTGAGTAACTACGTAAAAGATCATTTTATAGTGTCCTAAAAGGCTAAAGCGCTCATTACACAATCCTATATATTCACAATGAGTAGTATATTCATGCGCGCGCATGCCTGACTACCCACAAATAATGACAGTTACTATTCGTCATTCTAAAAGCATTGATTTCAATTTCTTGATAACTTCAAACTCTTTTGCATTAGATAGATACTATGGATCATTTAATTAATTAATGACTGAAAATCACAACCGTTAATTCTGAAAATTATTTTGAAAAGGATTTCCAATATTTCGTCCCAATTTTGTAAACTTTAAGCGGAACAACAGATAAAAACACGTTTAACGTTATATGTAGACAATTCCCGAATTAAATTATTTTTAAATTTATAGGAAACTCATGGGGATTCTGCAATAACGGTACTTCTGGTATAGGTTGCGGACCACAAGAAGTATTTAGATCATGTTCCGATATCAGCGTCATTGAAAGCGACGAAAATTACGACGGCAAAGTAGTAGAAAACTTCAACGTTATCTCATCTAAGCTGAACGCCGTAGCCAATTCATTAAGGTAGTCGCATATAGCACCCAATAATGAAGCAAGATTAAAGGTGTAGGTAGCTATATTAAATGACAAACGTTATAAACAGTAAACTCTTGTATATATTAGGTATTAACTTTTCCGCAGATATGAAATTGTAAATTTTCTCTATTTTATATGAATAAACGTAAAAATGTGCGAAGTTATTTTATTCATGCCATTGCATAATCTCAGCATGGAAAGTCAAATTTTATATCTACCAAACACAAAAGTTTTCAAAACTCAGTGTATAAAATCCTTAAAATCGATGCTATATAAACCATTCATCTTACTTTAAAACAATTCCATTAAATGTCATAACATTTTGCATATTTTATGCCTTTTAACATCTAAATTAAAATCTAAAATAACAAATAACGGTAATTTACTTACCATTTAAGTCATTTCTCATAGTTGTTATACTTTCTGTCGTTGAATTTTAAAATTATCTGTCCCATTCAAACACTAAACCGTATAACCGAACGCGTACGAAGCACCAACTTTTCGCGGACGGATTTAAAAAGAAACACTTTCCCCGGACGACCAATCGCTATTCAACTTTTCCGAAAGTCATTATCGCATATAAGATGAGCTAGGGTGGTTTTCTTCTATAATTTTCACCATATGACAATTTGTATACCGTAGCTCAGTCGAGTTTATTCTGAAACAAAAAGAAGACAATCTTATTATTAAAATTAATATGATACATTAAAAACTTGTAGTTTTAATGACATACTGTAAAAAGTAGTAATATTACGCATCAAGGGAAGAAACTACAATGTTTACAAACTTAGCATAGAGAAACCATAAACCCGCAAAATAAAGTTTATCGTAATTTGTTGCTAATTTTAACCAAAAAGCTGATTTTTTTGCTCCAATGAATGAATAAATTTCAAGATATAACTCAAAATTTCGAGTTGCAAATCGAATTACAAGAAGAAATTTCAAAAGAAAATTATGATTGGGCCTACCACACCTTTGTAATTGTACAATGACGAACGTAAATTTCTTGGTTAACAATTTGTTGAACCACCAGACGTAGCTCCCTATTTTGATCTTATTAATTACCATCATTGTTCCGTACTACGTCGTCTTCTATTGTACAAATATTTGCTATTAACTACAGTCTTGCACATAATTTAAAAATGGCTTATCTACCTTCTTAACTGAATCTAGCGCATACACGTGAGAGCCACATAAACAAATTGAATATTGTTCTTTGTCTTTTATAAATGAAACTAAAGTAAAAGAACTATGAAGAAGCCACAAATAAGAAATTGTTTTATATTGTATTGAATACATACGAGGGCGGTTCAATAAGTACCCGTGTTTGAAGACAGAGGACGTTCCTGAGGGAAATTGGTCTTGTCATCGTGTGCTGTCATCTATCAAACCACGCCAAAACGAATTTCAGACTGATTGATAGGTTAGTTTGGATTTGGCAGCCATTCGACTGAGACGTGTTTCGTTATTTTCGCTAAGAGCAGTATCGTTCGGTAACTCGCTTTTTGTTTTTGGATGGGAAAAAATGCGGGGAGATGAAAACAAAGTTGGATACTGTTTATGGAGACATTTCGCCATCTATGACAACAGTTAGATACTGCTTCAACGAATTTAAACGTGGGCAAAGATCCGTTATTGATAGGAGCGACCAGGAAGCCTGGCAAACGTTGTTACCGAGGAAATCATTTTACGGACTTTTTAGAAAAAGGAAGAACGATCACTGGACAATACTAGAGTGAATTATTGGACCGCTTCGACAAAAAATTGAAGGATACACGGACGCATTTGACGAAAAAGAAGGTGCGTTTTCAACACGATAACGCACCGGCACGTTCATCAGGAGTTGTTGCCGCCAAACTGCATGAATTACGTATGAACTGCTGCCGCACACCCTCGATTTGACTCCCTGCGACTTCGTCTTGTTCCCTACCATGAAGAAATGACTCGCGAGAAAAAAATTTAGCTTAAACGAGGGAATCATCGCCGAGACAGGGGTGATGTTGGAGAGTTCGACAAATTTTATTTTTTGGAGAGGTAAAAAAAATGGCAGGGACGTTGGGAGAAGTGTATCTTTCTAAAAGGGGACTATGTTGAAAAATAAAAAAAAAATTATAAAAAAGAGGTGTCTTCATTTCTAACACGGGTACTTATTGAACCGCCCTCGTATATGTCAAAAAACATTCTTTTTTTTCGAACCCCCGAATATAAGTAAATCAAAGTACCTGATGATTTACACTGTACTTCACATTAGCATTTAATAAAAATTATACGTTTGATTATAATAAGTAAACATTTACATACAGATAATGAATGCAAACGTTGCAGAATGGTGTAAATTGGTTTGAACTTGGGAATTACCCTGATTTTTTTTAAAATTGAAGGACAATTAGAACCATGACAATGAATCACACTCAATTCATTATTCACCAACATTGTTGACCTTAGTGATTAAAGCAAATCACGTATGAAGCCTATTCAAACATAAACCGGAAGAGGCGCCACGTGAAATTGAATTAGTTGCACACAATTCTATCTTCCTCAATTATATAAATAACAAAATTAAAGAAAAGGATGAGATAGCTCGGTACTTCTCAAAAATTCTACAGAAATTGATTTGACAATTTAATTGAATCGCTGGCAGCGGAAATCGGGGACGAACAGGGGCGGCCTTAGTCATTGGCCCCCTGTGAGTTTTTCTTGTTCCCGAAACTGAAGAGGCCCATGAAAAAATGATTTTTTGAAGTGCTTCGAGGATTGGAAACAATGTTGACACAAGTGTATAATATCTGGTGGGGATTACTTTGAATGGGACAAAATAGATGTTTACGAATAAAAAAATAATTTTTGAAAAAACACAAAATTCGCGATACTTTTTGAACAGTCCTCGTATATATGTAATAAGAATGTTCATATGGTGGTCAGCATTCTGTCGAAATATTGAGGCGTGGATTGCGATTTCGACCTTCTTGGGTCTCATCAGCAAAGCACAAAAGATTCCGACAGAATGCACACCAACTCAACCTGCTCCCTCTAAACAGTATTTTATGAATAATTTCATAATAACACCATCTACAGAATATTGCTACATTTTCTGAGATTCAAAAATGTTCAATAAGTTTACAGGTCATAGGTCAGTATTCTATCGAAACAACTTTTTTGATCTGTTACATGTCTACCACGTAGGGGCAGCTACGCCATAAGTTCATTTCGACAAGTCGATAACTTTAAGGACCTTGTCGAACATTTTTAAATCCACAAAACGGATCAATATTCTGCAGAAGGCTTTTATTTTGTTTTCAAAACTACCATTGCTAGCCGTACAATTTACAATGTCCGCCTAGCCTTCCTCCAGGTTTCAGCATAGCATCAAGAGCTTTGAAAAAAATCTACAGAAAACTTAAAAAATTTTAAAATAGCTTGCAGAATCTCTAACGTCCCTATGGAATTATTAAGGTTGATCATTATGTTTAAACATTTATACAGCACTCACAAAGCTTTTACCATCTCTGGCATACCGTTCTGCATTTTGACAATTATATTTATTTACTAATTAACGTATTAACACCAAATATTTCCAGATTCTTAACATTCGGCGCACGTTTTAGAATAAGACATTAGTTATAAATAATATAATAGACTAAACTAACAAAAGCAATCCAAGGTAATAAGCGTTTATTAAATATTGTGGACTAAAATAAACAAAATTAAATAATCTGTAAGTGTTTCGACAATAATATTGGTTTACATTGCAATCATTTCCAAAAGTGTTCACTTTGCCTTTGCACATCCACAGTTCGGTTGTCTGTTATCTGGACAAACAATGGTACATGTTCCGTTCAATAAACCAGATTCTAAAGATTCTGTTGGCATAAAGATAATTTTTATGTAGGTATTTGTCTGAAAAGCTCACCTGTCGTAATGAAAAAGTTGGGGAAGATATTTTTTCATTTTTGTTGAAAAAAGTTTATGCTTTATCATTGTTTCTCTAAATTCTATGACATAAAATAATGAAGCAATTTGAAGTTGTTCTTATACCAAAACGCGATAATATTTAATAATAATGAAAAACTGCAGTTAACGGTAAATATTTCTTCATGCCGATATGTTGTGATTTACTCGATAAAGAAAAAACGCTAATAACATAAACTTGGAAAATATTACCCCATCTTCAGTTTGGATAGTGTCATAGTTGTTAGGTTGTTACTCTTTATGTCAGAATCAGAATTTCTTCTTAATCTTACCTGAACAAATTCCATGACTTATGTGTTTATAATCTGCAAAAAATATAGAGGATTAAGTTTACTAGTCATTCTTGTTTTTTTTTATTGTGTTACACACCATCTTCTACGAGGCAATTCCACTCGACCAATTCACAATCGTTTCCAAAAGTTTTTCTAATTCCTTCGCCATTAGCGCCACAAATAGGTTCATACTCCTCAGTACACAACAAACATCCTTGGCCCATCGTAAAGGTTCCTATTTCAGAATAACTCCAGGTTTGAGTCACGAAAACGGCTCCAATAAAATTAATCAAAATTATTATAATGCATTTTATTAGCTGCAATAAAATAAAAAGAAATTGACTTACCGAAAAATAATGCCGAAAATATCTTCATACTGTTTTCTTATAAAAGAGATCTTAAATAAAAATACAATAACAAAGATTTGCCTGCCTTTTATATGCCAATTTATGAAAGGAGTGGGAATGAAAAGCAAAAATATTTTTTTAAATAAAATTAAATTAAATTATCTCTTGAAAGACAGAATCGTAATATTGTCAGAGATTTATTGGCTATGTTTATTTTTTATTGTTCAGCTTCTGTTATAATCTTAATATTTTTAACTCATAATGTTGAACAATGTGTCTTAGGAAATTTTTATATATTTGAATTGTTTGAATTTCTCTATTGAAACTATGATAAATGTTATAACAAATTACAGAAGGTTCAAATTCTTAACTCATAATGTTGTACAATGTGCCATAAATAAAGGTAAAATAGGTATTTTATTAGCATAACGGTATGATCCACTCGAGTGTCAACAAAAACACTTTTTTTTTCAAGATCACTTCTGCTATTGTAGTTATTATCAGTTCAACAGCTTAGGTACATAATTTTGTATATGTAAAGCAAGCAAACTATTGTTATTTTATTGTTTAAGTTCTGTGTTACTAATAAATAGTGATATGAAAGAACTGTCACTATTATTTTTGGGTGTGTCCATTTTTCTTTCTTATTTGTACCTAACAACATTATAAGTTAAAACTAGCAAGATTATATCAGGTACAGAAAAATAAATAATCAACATGGCCCATAAATCTCTCATAACATAATGATTCTGTCTTTCAAGAGATAATTTAATTTAATTTTATTNATTTTTGGGTGTGTCCATTTTTCTTTGTTATTTGTACCTAACAACATTATGAGTTAAAACTATTACCCATAATAAATTTAAAGGAAGATTAAATCAGGTGCAGAAAAATAAAAAATGAACATGGCCAATAAATCTCTGACAATAGAATGATTCTGTCTTTCAAGAGATAATTTAATTTAATTTTATTAAAAAAAATATTTTTGCTTTTCATCCCCACTCCTTACATTTATTATTAGTTCCACATCTTACATTAGTGGGCATATAAAAGGCAGGCAAATCGTTATGATTTTTTATTATTTAAAATCATTCTTATAAGGAAACAGAATGAAGATACTTTCGGTATTATTTTTGGGTAAGTAAATTTCTTTTTATCTTCTTGCAGCTAATAAAATGCACAATACTAATTTTCATTAATTTATTGGAGCCGTTTTCGTGGCACAAACCTGGAGTTATTCTGTAACAGGACCTTTAAAGAAACAAGAATGTTTGATGTGTGCTCAGAAGTATAAACCTGTTTGTGGAGTTAATGGCGATGGAATTAGAAGAACTTTTGGAAGCCACTGTGAATTGGCCCAGTGGAATTGCCTCGCAGGAACAGGTGTGTAACACAATTACAAGAACAACTAGACAGTAATTTTTGTGCCATATTAACAAATGAGGAAATATAATTAAGAAAGTTTGTTGCAATGACCAGTAAAGTGAAACCTCAATATTTTTTTACAGATTATAAACACATCAGTCATGGAGTTTGTCCAGGTAAGATGAAGAACAAATTTTGATTTTGATATAAAGAGTAAAAACCTAACAACTACGACACTATCCAAACTAAAAAAAGAATGGAGCGTTAAAATTGTAATGAGAGCACTAAATATGCAAGAGTTCTGAAGGAATGATGACGTGTAGCGTCTACCCGTTGAGATCACAAATTCCATGACTTATGTGTTTATAATCTGCAAAAAATATAGAGGTTTAAGTTTACTAGTCATTCTTTATTTGTTAATATGGCACAAAATTACTAATTGCGTATTGTTTTTTTTTTATTGTGTTACACACCATCTCCTACGAGGCAATTCCACTCGACCAATTCACAATCGTTTCCAAATGTTTTTCTAATTCCTTCGCTGTTAGCGCCACAAATAGGTTCATACTCCTCAGTACACAACAAACATCCTTGGCCCATCGTAAAGGTTCCTATTTCAGAATAACTCCAGGTTTGCGCCACGAAAACAGCTCCAGTAAAATTAATCAAAATTATTGTAATGCATTTTATTAGCTGCAAGAATATAAAAAGAAATTGACTTACCCAAAAATAATGCCGAAACTATCTTCATATTATTTCGTTATAAAACAGATCTTAAATAAAAATAAAATAAAAAAGATTTACCTGCCTTTATAAGACAGGTGAGCATTTCAGACAAATACCTACATAAAAATTATCTTTATGCCAACAGAATCTGTCAAATCTCGTGTACTGAAGGGAACATGTACCATTGTTTGTCCAGATAGCAGCCACCCTTCTTGTCAATGTCTAAATTGATTCAGAGGACATTTTTGAAAATGATTACAACGCAGAACAATATTATTGTGGAAACATTAACAAAGATTGTTTAATTTCTATTACTCGTGGAATTTACAATATTTAATAAACACTTATTATTTTGAATTGTTTTTAATTATATTCCCTAAAAATAATATCTTCTTCGAAAGCGTTTGCCGGATTATGACAAGCTGGTTGTGTTTCGGATTTCCAATCTGAATATTTTCTGGTTTTTATTGACTAATATTAAGCGACCTTTTTTCTATTTTCATTCCAAGGTCTATAAGTTTATTATCCTTGTGAGTTTCAACACTGCCATATCTTCCTGTTTTCAGATCCTTGTGCGAGTACGTAACTTGTAAATGTTTAGGATGCGTTTAATTAGGAGTTCCTAAATTAAGTAGTAGATGAAAATAGTTGTCAAAATAAAGAACAGTATGATATAGGTCTTCAGGGAATGGAGCGTTAAAATTGTAATGAGAGCACTAAATATGCAAGAGTTCTGAAGGAATGATGACGTGTAGCGTCTACCCGTTGAGATCATCTTTGTGTAAAAATTGGTACATTCATGTAAGCGTTCTGTATTAACTACTTAATACTATCAGTTTTTGTAAAAAGGGCATTACCGGGTAGAATGGTAAAAAGTGCCCTTAGCTCTTTTGGAAATCGATTGTAACCATGCTGTAGGTAATAATAAAAAAGGCTTCTTGCCAAATTTTTAGACCCCGAAGTGGTCACGTCACCACGGTCAATAAATCTCTGATAACATAATGATTCTGTCTTTCAAGAGATAATCTAATTTAATTTTATTATACATGGAGTACGATTTCGACCTACTTAGGTCTCATCAGCACGTCATAAGCGACTCCGACAGAAGTGCATTCTTTTGTGTGCAACAAGACAGTATTTTATGATTTACTACAAACAGCGTACTTAACACCATCTACCGAACATTGCTACATTTTTTAGGATTCTAAAATGTTCGATAAGTATATTAACGATTTGTATACAGGTCAGAGGTCAGTATTCTATCGAAACAACTTTGTTGATCTGTTACATGTCTACCACGTAGGGGTAGCTACGCCATGAGTTCACTTCAACAAGTCGATAACCTTAACGATCTTCTCGAACATTTTTGAATCCTGAAAATGGATCAATATTCAGTAAGCTTTTATTTTGTTTTCAAAACAGCGATTAGTAGCCGTGGTCATTTTACAATATAGCTATAGTCCGTCGAGCCTTCCTTCAGATTTCAGCACGGCATCAAGAGTTTGTGAAACAAATCTACAAAAAATTAAAAAATTTTCAAATAGCTTGTAGAATCTCTAAAAAGTTTAAATGTTTATACGTTACCCACAGATCTTTTGTGACCTATGGCATATTGTTCTGTATTTTGACAATAATATATCTATCTACTACTTAACATATGAATTAGGTACTAATTAACCGCATTCTAAACAATTATATTATTCATTAGGTAATTTTAGGAGGAATTCAAGAGAACAAGACAAGAATAAATAATAAGGCAGGAGGACAATAAACTTATAGACCCCGCAAATAGAAGTCTACAAAAAAGAAACACGTGCAACTCAGTACACATGAAAGAAATGAAACTTCTTTGGCGATCTCTATAGCTTTATAACGAATAAGTAATGATTGGTGAAAAAGAGAATTTTCCAGGATTTATTTTTTCCAACATATATTATCTTTAGTCCACCTTTAACTCATAATGTTGAACAATGTGTCTTAGGAAATTTTTATATATTTGAATTGTTTGACTTTACAATGTGCCATAAATAAAGGACGAATGGGTATTTTATCAGCATTACGGTATGATCCACTCGAGTGTCAACAAAAACACTTCTTTCTTCAAGATTACTCCTGCTATTGTAGTTATTATCAGTTCAACAGCTTAGGTACACAATTTTGCCTGTGTAAAGCAAGCAAACCATTGTTATTTAATTGTTTAAGTTATGTGCTACTAATACTATTTTTGGGTGTGTCCATTTTTCTTTGTTATTTGTACCTAACAACATTATGAGTTAAAACTATTACCCATAATAAATTTAAAGCAAGATTATATCAGTTACAGAAAAATAAATAATGAACATGGCCCATAAATCTCTCATAACATAATGATTCTGTCTTTCAAGAGATAATCTAATTTAATTTTATTATACATGGAGTACGATTTCGACCTACTTAGGTCTCATCAGCACGTCATAAGCGACTCCGACAGAAGTGCATTCTTTTGTGTGCAACAAGACAGTATTTTATGATTTACTACAAACAGCGTACTTAACACCATCTACCGAACATTGCTACATTTTTTAGGATTCTAAAATGTTCGATAAGTATATTAACGATTTGTATACAGGTCAGAGGTCAGTATTCTATCGAAACAACTTTGTTGATCTGTTACATGTCTACCACGTAGGGGTAGCTACGCCATGAGTTCACTTCAACAAGTCGATAACCTTAACGATCTTCTCGAACATTTTTGAATCCTGAAAATGGATCAATATTCAGTAAGCTTTTATTTTGTTTTCAAAACAGCGATTAGTAGCCGTGGTCATTTTACAATATAGCTATAGTCCGTCGAGCCTTCCTTCAGATTTCAGCACGGCATCAAGAGTTTGTGAAACAAATCTACAAAAAATTAAAAAATTTTCAAATAGCTTGTAGAATCTCTAAAAAGTTTAAATGTTTATACGTTACCCACAGATCTTTTGTGACCTATGGCATATTGTTCTGTATTTTGACAATAATATATCTATCTACTACTTAACATATGAATTAGGTACTAATTAACCGCATTCTAAACAATTATATTATTCATTAGGTAATTTTAGGAGGAATTCAAGAGAACAAGACAAGAATAAATAATAAGGCAGGAGGACAATAAACTTATAGACCCCGCAAATAGAAGTCTACAAAAAAGAAACACGTGCAACTCAGTACACATGAAAGAAATGAAACTTCTTTGGCGATCTCTATAGCTTTATAACGAATAAGTAATGATTGGTGAAAAAGAGAATTTTCCAGGATTTATTTTTTCCAACATATATTATCTTTAGTCCACCAAAGGACTTTAATACATTTTTATGTAATTCATCATCATCATAAGGTCCTAAGACTGTTTGGACACGAACCTCCACTCATTCCTATCCTGAGCATTTCCCATATCGTGAACTATTTGCCAGTATCTCTACCTCTACCCCTCTTAACTTCCGCTTGTCTCTAACATGTCTCTCACTAGACCTTTATGCCTGAGAAGGTGTCCTACTAACCTATCTCGCCTATTTCTTATTGACTTCCGTAGAGTACTCTGTTCTCCCCTATTGCACTTATTGATGACATCCCCCGAGATAGTCCCCGCCCGGACATCCGAATGGGGGACTAATTTACGTCCGGAGTGCTTTACCCCAGAGAACGCCTTCATTTAATATGTCTGATACGTTTTACTTGGCCAATTTTTTTTCGCTTCCGTTTAGTTCTCCAGGTGCTTAAGAAACCGTAAACTATCAATAACTACAAGGAATCAGAATTAATACACAATAATACTCACTCTTAAATAAATATTAACTGCACAGATATAACCAATAAATTAATTTAGCACTATAGTATAGAGAATATACATTATACAATAATATATGAGATGCCGGTAACTAATAGCTGACTGTAATACCGATATGCACATGCGCGCCTTTCTATTCTCATAGCCTATCGCTTCACGAGACGAATTGTTGCAAAACGTGTCGTTTTATGGCCTTGAGGTTTAACTCACATCGAGCCCAAACAAGTTTCACTTCAAAAACAGAACAAGTATGCAGACTGGAAATCTCAAACATTTTCAGATTCTTATCATTTGGCGCACGTTTTAGAATAACATATTTCTTATAAGTAGTATAATATACTGCACTAACAAAAACAATCCAAGGTAATAAGTGTTTATTAAAGATTGCGGATAAAAGAATGGAAATTAAATAATCTGTAAAAATGTTTCGACAATAATATTGTTCCACAATGCAATTATTTCCAAAAGTGTTCTCTATGGCCTCGAACATCCACAGTGCGGCTGTTTCCCATTTGGACAGACAATTGTGCATAATGGGTCCTTCAAACCAGGTCTTACATAATCTGTTAGAACAAAGATCATTAGTATGTTATTGTGCGAAAAACTGATCTATCATGAAACAACAATTGGAGAGGATTTTTTCTGGTTTTCTTAAAAAGTGTTCACGGTTTGTCATTGTTTGTCTATATTCTATCTATAACATTAAATAATGAAAGAATATTAAGTTGTTCTTATACCAAAACGCGATAATATATAATAAATAATCAAAAACTGCAGTTAACGGTAATTTTTCTAGATATGTTGTCATCTACTCCATAAGAAAAGAACGCTAATAACATAAACTTGGAAAATTTTACCCCATTTTCAGTTTAGATAGTGTCATAGATGTTAGGTTGTTACTTTTTATATCAAAATCAGAATTTGTTTATCCTTACCTCTACAAAATCCATGACGGATGTGTTTATAATCTGTAAAAGAATATTGTGGTTTCAGTTTACTAGTCATTCCTTATTTCTTAATATGGTAGAAAAATTACTGTCTAGTTGCGCATTGTTTTTTGAAGTGAAACTTCTTTACGCACGCTTCATGCGAGTTGCTGTGTAACGAAATCATACAACGGATGCCTCCCTCTACTCGGCCACGTAGTCGAGTTCGTAGTAAGTTTCGCTTGAGCCGTGAGCGCGCATCAATGCAACGTTCGTTACAGGCAACTACGGCATGTATAGTGTAAATTTTAAATTCGTAGTGTACAAATAATACCATTAAAGCGATTCCTTAACCCCTATCCAGGTCTGTTTGTGTCTTTGAAGAAGTTTCACTTCAACAGCGTCTTGTATAATTACACGTTGTATTTTTTTTTATTGTGTTACACACCTTCTCCTGCGAGGCAATTCCACTGAACCAATTCGCAATCGTTTCCAAAAGTTTTTCTAATTCCTTCGCTATTAACGCCACAAACAGGTTCATACTNTTAAAAAAATATTTTTGCTTTTCATTCCCACTCCTTTCATAAATTGGCATATAAAAGGCAGGCAAATCTTTGTTATTGTATTTTTATTTAAGATCTCTTTTATAAGAAAACAGTATGAAGATATTTTCGGCATTATTTTTCGGTAAGTCAATTTCTTTTTATTTTATTGCAGCTAATAAAATGCATTATAATAATTTTGATTAATTTTATTGGAGCCGTTTTCGTGACTCAAACCTGGAGTTATTCTGAAATAGGAACCTTTACGATGGGCCAAGGATGTTTGTTGTGTACTGAGGAGTATGAACCTATTTGTGGCGCTAATGGCGAAGGAATTAGAAAAACTTTTGGAAACGATTGTGAATTGGTCGAGTGGAATTGCCTCGTAGAAGATGGTGTGTAACACAATAAAAAAAAACAAGAATGACTAGTAAACTTAATCCTCTATATTTTTTGCAGATTATAAGCACATAAGTCATGGGATTTGTCCAGGTAAGATTAAGAAGAAATTCTGATTCTGACATAAAGAGTAACAACCTAACAACTATGACACTATCCAAACTGAAGATGGGGTAATATTTTCCAAGTTTATGTTATTAGCGTTTTTTCTTTATCGAGTAAATGACAACATATCGCCATGTATAAATATTTACTGTTAACTGCAATTTTTCATTATTTATTATATATTATCGCGTTTTGTTATAAGAACAACTTCATGTTGTTTCATTATTTTATGTTATAGAATTTAGAGAAACAATGATACTCTTTTCAACAAAAATGAGAAAATTTCTTCCCCAACTTTCTCATCAAGACAGGTGAGCATTTCAGACAAATACCTACATAAAAATTATCTTTATGCCAACAGAATCTGTCAAATCTCGTGTACTGAAGGGAACATGTACCATTGTTTGTCCAGATAGCAGCCACCCTTCTTGTCAATGTCTAAATTGATTCAGAGGACATTTTTGAAAATGATTACAACGCAGAACAATATTATTGTGGAAACATTAACAAAGATTGTTTAATTTCTATTACTCGTGGAATTTACAATATTTAATAAACACTTATTATTTTGAATTGTTTTTAATTATATTCCCTAAAAATAATATCTTCTTCGAAAGCGTTTGCCGGATTATGACAAGCTGGTTGTGTTTCGGATTTCCAATCTGAATATTTTCTGGTTTTTATTGACTAATATTAAGCGACCTTTTTTCTATTTTCATTCCAAGGTCTATAAGTTTATTATCCTTGTGAGTTTCAACACTGCCATATCTTCCTGTTTTCAGATCCTTGTGCGAGTACGTAACTTGTAAATGTTTAGGATGCGTTTAATTAGGAGTTCCTAAATTAAGTAGTAGATGAAAATAGTTGTCAAAATAAAGAACAGTATGATATAGGTCTTCAGGGAATGGAGCGTTAAAATTGTAATGAGAGCACTAAATATGCAAGAGTTCTGAAGGAATGATGACGTGTAGCGTCTACCCGTTGAGATCATCTTTGTGTAAAAATTGGTACATTCATGTAAGCGTTCTGTATTAACTACTTAATACTATCAGTTTTTGTAAAAAGGGCATTACCGGGTAGAATGGTAAAAAGTGCCCTTAGCTCTTTTGGAAATCGATTGTAACCATGCTGTAGGTAATAATAAAAAAGGCTTCTTGCCAAATTTTTAGACCCCGAAGTGGTCACGTCACCACGGTCAATAAATCTCTGATAACATAATGATTCTGTCTTTCAAGAGATAATCTAATTTAATTTTATTAAACATGGAGTACGATTTCGGCCTACTTAGGTCTCATCAGCACGTCATAAGCGACTCCGACAGAAGTGCATTCTTTTGTGTGCAACAAGACAGTATTTTATAATTAGCTACAAACAGCGTACTTAACACCATCTACCGAATATTGCTACATTTTCTGGGATTCAAAAATGTTCGATAAGTATATTAAGGATTTGTATACAGGTCAGAGGTCAGTATTCTATCGAAACAACTTTGTTGCTCTGTTACGTGTCAACCACGTAAGGGTAGCTACGCCATGAGTAGATAAACTTAAGGACCTTGTCGAACATTCTTGAAACCACAAAACGGACCAATATTCTGCAAAAGGCTTTTATTTTGTTTCCAAAACGACCATTGCTAGCCGTACAATTTACAATGTCCGTCTAGCCTTCCTCCAGGTTTCAGCATAGCATCAAGAGTTTTTGAAACAAATCTACAGAAAACTGAAAAATTGTCAAATAGAGTAGTAATATTACGCATCAAGGGAAGAAACTACAATGTTTACAAACTTAGCATAGAGAAACCATAAACCCGCAAAATAAAGTTTATCGTAATTTGTTGCTAATTTTAACCAAAAAGCTGATTTTTTTGCTCCAATGAATGAATAAATTTCAAGATATAACTCAAAATTTCGAGTTGCAAATCGAATTACAAGAAGAAATTTCAAAAGAAAATTATGATTGGGCCTACCACACCTTTGTAATTGTACAATGACGAACGTAAATTTCTTGGTTAACAATTTGTTGAACCACCAGACGTAGCTCCCTATTTTGATCTTATTAATTACCATCATTGTTCCGTACTACGTCGTCTTCTATTGTACAAATATTTGCTATTAACTACAGTCTTGCACATAATTTAAAAATGGCTTATCTACCTTCTTAACTGAATCTAGCGCATACACGTGAGAGCCACATAAACAAATTGAATATTGTTCTTTGTCTTTTATAAATGAAACTAAAGTAAAAGAACTATGAAGAAGCCACANCCAAACAAGTTTCACTTCAAAAACAGAACAAGTATGCAGACTGGAAATCTCAAACATTTTCAGATTCTTATCATTTGGCGCACGTTTTAGAATAACATATTTCTTATAAGTAGTATAATATACTGCACTAACAAAAACAATCCAAGGTAATAAGTGTTTATTAAAGATTGCGGATAAAAGAATGGAAATTAAATAATCTGTAAAAATGTTTCGACAATAATATTGTTCCACAATGCAATTATTTCCAAAAGTGTTCTCTATGGCCTCGAACATCCACAGTGCGGCTGTTTCCCATTTGGACAGACAATTGTGCATAATGGGTCCTTCAAACCAGGTCTTACATAATCTGTTAGAACAAAGATCATTAGTATGTTATTGTGCGAAAAACTGATCTATCATGAAACAACAATTGGAGAGGATTTTTTCTGGTTTTCTTAAAAAGTGTTCACGGTTTGTCATTGTTTGTCTATATTCTATCTATAACATTAAATAATGAAAGAATATTAAGTTGTTCTTATACCAAAACGCGATAATATATAATAAATAATCAAAAACTGCAGTTAACGGTAATTTTTCTAGATATGTTGTCATCTACTCCATAAGAAAAGAACGCTAATAACATAAACTTGGAAAATTTTACCCCATTTTCAGTTTAGATAGTGTCATAGATGTTAGGTTGTTACTTTTTATATCAAAATCAGAATTTGTTTATCCTTACCTCTACAAAATCCATGACGGATGTGTTTATAATCTGTAAAAGAATATTGTGGTTTCAGTTTACTAGTCATTCCTTATTTCTTAATATGGTAGAAAAATTACTGTCTAGTTGCGCATTGTTTTTTGAAGTGAAACTTCTTTACGCACGCTTCATGCGAGTTGCTGTGTAACGAAATCATACAACGGATGCCTCCCTCTACTCGGCCACGTAGTCGAGTTCGTAGTAAGTTTCGCTTGAGCCGTGAGCGCGCATCAATGCAACGTTCGTTACAGGCAACTACGGCATGTATAGTGTAAATTTTAAATTCGTAGTGTACAAATAATACCATTAAAGCGATTCCTTAACCCCTATCCAGGTCTGTTTGTGTCTTTGAAGAAGTTTCACTTCAACAGCGTCTTGTATAATTACACGTTGTATTTTTTTTTATTGTGTTACACACCTTCTCCTGCGAGGCAATTCCACTGAACCAATTCGCAATCGTTTCCAAAAGTTTTTCTAATTCCTTCGCTATTAACGCCACAAACAGGTTCATACTCCCCAGTACACAACACACACTCTTGGCCCATCTTAAAGGTTCCTGTTTCAGAATAACTCCAGGCTTGAGCCACGAAAACGGCTCCAGTAAAATTAATCAAAATTATTATAGTGCATTTTATTAGCTGCAAGAAGATAAAATGAAATTGACTTACCCAAAAATAATGCCGAAAGTATCTTCATACTATTTTTTTATAAGGGAGATGTTAAATTAAAATAAAATATCAAAGATTTACCTGCCTTTTATGTAAGATTTGGAACTGATAATAAATGTAAGGAGTGGGAATAAAAAGCAAAAATATTTTTTTTAATAAAATTTAATTAGATTATCTCTTGAAAGACAGAATCATTACTTTATCAGAGATTTATTGGCCATGTTCATTTATTTTTCTGTACCTTATATAATCTTGCTTTAAATTTATGATGAGTATTTTTAGCTCATAATGTTGTTAGGTACAAATAAGAAAAAAAATAGACATACCAAAAAATAATGGTGACAGATCCTTCATATTATTATTTATTAGTAGGACAATACTTAAACAATAAAATAACAACACTTATTTACTTTATATATGTACAATTATGTACCTAAGATGTTAAAATGATAGTAAGTACAATAGCGGGAGCGATCTTGAGGAAAAAAGCGTTTTTATTGACACTTTGGATCAGACAGTAAAGCTAATAAAATACCTATTTCCCTTTTATTTATGGCGCATTGTTCAACATTATGAGTTAAGAATTTAAACCTGCTGTAATTTGTTATAATATTTATCATAATTTCAATAGAGAAAGTCAAACAATTCAAATATATAAAAATTTCCTAAGGCACATTATTCAACATTGTGAGTTAAAAATACCCATAATAAATTTAAAGGAAGATTAAATCAGGTGCAGAAAAATAAAAAATGAACATGGCCAATAAATCTCTGACAATAGAATGATTCTGTCTTTCAAGAGATAATTTAATTTAATTTTATTTAAAAAAAATATTTTTTCTTTTCGTTCCCACTCCTTACATTTATTATCAGTTCTACATCCACCATATAAAAGGCAGGTAAATCTTTGTTCTTCTATTTTTATTAAAGAACTCCCTTATAAGGAAATACTATGAAGATTCTTTCGGCATTATTTTTGGGTAAGTCAATTTCTTTTTATCTTCTTGGAGCTAATAGAATGCACAATACTAATTTTCATTAATTCATTGGAGCCGTTTTCGTGGCTCAAACCTGGAGTTATTCTCTAACAGGACCCTTAAAGAAGCGCCAAGGATGCTTGTTGTGTACTGACGAGTATGAACCTGTTTGTGGCGTTAATAGCGAAGGAATTAGAAAAACTTTTGGAAATAATTGTGACTTGGACCAGTGGAATTGCGTCACAGGAGAAGGTGTGTAACACGATAAAAGAAAAACAATACGCAATTAGACAGTAATTTTGTGCCATGTTAATAAATATGGAATGACCAGTAAACTGAAACCTTAATATTTCTTTACAGATTATGAACACATAAGTCATGGAGTTTGTCCAGGTAAGATTAAGAACAAATTCTGATTTAGATACAAAGAACAACAACCTAACACCTACGACACTATCCAAACTAAAAATGGGGTAGTAAAGTTTATGTTATTGGCGTTTTTTCTTTATCGAGTCAAAGCCAACATATTGCCAACTAAAAATATTTACTGTTGACTGTAGTTTTTCATTATTTATTATATATTCTCCAACTTTCTCATCATGAAAGGTGAACGTTTCGGACAAATACTTACATAAAAATTATCTTTATGCCAACAGAATCTGTAAAATCCGGTTTCGGAGATCCAACATGCACCATTGTTTGTCAAATTGGACAATTCCCTTCTTGTCACTGTTAAATGAGGAATTCCAGAGGACACAATAAGAATTAGTATACGATGTTATTCACTACTTAAAATTTGATTTTCTAACAGTTTATAACAAAACTTAATAAACAAATTATTAATTCTTTCGTTGTTTAGTTGTTTGCAACATATGTTTAAAAGTAAAATTTTGCATCTTCGAAGTGATTCCAAATAATTGAAAGATCAGATGTAATTTAAAATGAGATGATATCAAATAAAGTAAAACGTTATTTGTTTATCTCAATTGGTAATATAAAAAAAGTCCAGAAATGTTTATTAATAAATGTAGCAAATAAACGTCTAACAAAATTTTACAAAGAATATATTTGTAAATTAAATTACATCTATCTATTTAAATATATAAAAAACAAATTATAAAGGGTTACACGAAATTTTAAAATTCTTAACTAAAATTGAATATAAATTTCCTATTCTTCAAAAGAATTTGAAAAATAAGTGTTTCGGCTATGTTTTGTTAGTGTAATGACTACACTTAGAATGATTTCAAATATATGTTCAACTATAACTTTGTTTCGAAAACATTTAATTTAATATAACTGTTTTATACAACGAGAAACTCTTGTACAAACTAGAGTGGGTGGATCGACTAGCGAGTTTCAATGATTTAGGGAGCCGGACCATAGGTTAAATCATAATGTGTGGGTTCTTAAAGAGAAATTAGACTAAGACAACTCCCTGAAAGAGGGAAGCACTTTCAATACTCAAGGTGGCAGATATTATGAGAATCGGTATGGCACTCTGGTGCACAATAGTGCGATGTGGAAGGGAACGGTAAACCACCACATTATGATCCAGAGTAAAACGTACAACTAAAGAAGTTAAATGATGGCGCCCTTTGGGGTAAAGCACTCCGGACGTAAACTAGTCCCCCATTCGGATGTCCTCGGGGGATGTCATCAATAAATGCAATAGGAGTAGATGCAATATTTCACGAGTCGGAGCGCGGAATGTTAATACAATGAGGCAAGTAGGGAAATTGGAAAATTTGAGATGAATTGATTCGAATTAGATATAGTAGAAGTCCGTTGGCCTAAAGCTGGAGACTTCTGGAGTGGAGACTTTAGAATAGTACATACAAGATCGATGGAAGGTAATTCGGGGGTAGGAATTGTAATGCGTGGGAAAGCAGGGCAAAGCATAGAAAGTTATTTATTTATAGTTAAATTACACTTGAAGCCGGTAAAAGCGGTATTAGTGCAGGTCTGCATGCCTACATCATCTTACAGGGATGAAGACGTAGAAGCGGTTTATGCAGATACAGAAGAGGTGTTAAGTTTAGTTAAAGGGCAGGAAAACCTAATAGTTGTAGGAGATTTCAACGCAGTAATAGGAGAAGGTAAAGACGGTACAATAACAGGTTCTTTTAGATTAGGCAATAGAAACGACAGGGGAGATAGGCTGATAGAATTATGCGATAAACATAGGAAGAGCTGTACGTGGAAGATGCCACGTGATTTAGAAAGATATCAGTTAGATTACAGACTTGTTAGGCAAAGATTTAAAAATCAAGTGAAGGACCGTAGGAGTTATCCAGGAGCAAATATAGATAGCGATCATAACGTATTATATGTATAGACCAATCATAAATTGAAAAATTTGAAAAAGAGGGAAGTTAGGTGATGTGACTTGAAAAGCTAAAATGTAAGGAAACGCGTGATAGGCTAGGTACAAAGACCGACGAAATACTAAAGACGGCAGGATAAAAGAATGGCAGGGACATAGAGACAGAATGGAACTGCATTAAAACGTGCCTAAAGTCAGCAGCTACAGATATACTAAATCTTAAACAAAACGAAAGGTGGAAACTCTGGATAAAAAATGACATTGTAGGATTAATAGAAGAAAGGGGAAATACAAAAACAAGACAGACGATCCGACAGGATTTGAACCTTGACGAAACTCTTGTACAAACTAGAGGCTATTAAATATACATATATCGTTAGAAGGTAAAAGTAAAAAAAAAAATAATAAATCATGACAGCCACAAAAATGGAAATAACTTGTTAAAAAACAGACATGTACGTAACAAGTTTGCCTCGTGTATTTTATGGTATACCACGCGCACAAACAGAAGATATTCAAGACACAGCTAGTAATTTAATTTTAAATTAGTAGGTTCACGCACGAATAGAGTTTCAGACAAGTTTTATTAAGATTCAAAGGTAATCATTTAAAGAAACTAAGGCAGTTTTAAATAAATTATAACTTTAGATAAAGCAAATTCTCATGTACTATTTTTTTATATATACGGACAGTGTGGACAAATTTCGGCGTTTGTATAGGGCAACTCGGTAACGATAAGATACAAAAAGAATTAATAGCGACTTCGCTATCTCTTTTTTGAGGCAAATTTATTGGTGTTTCCAAAAACTTGCCATCCTCTTTTGTTTATATTTGTTTGTTATAAACAAATTTGTTGACCGTAAAAGGGTAAGATGGTAAAAAGCGCCTTTAGCCCTTTTGAAAATCAGTTATAACGATGTTGTAGGCAATAATAAAAAAGCTTTTTGCTAAATTTTTAGACCTCGTAATGGTCACATGAACTGTCACGGTCATATTTCGTAATTTTTAGTTATTTCAAATTTCGAAAAAATTCTCCTTACCTTAAATCTTGTTTTTTATTTTTTCAAAAATCTTTAGAAATACGACCGTTATAGGTGACGTGGCCACTGCTAAGTCTAAAAATTTGGCAAAAGGCCTTTTTTATTATTACCTACAGCATGATTACAATCGATTTTCAAAAGAGCTAAGAGCACATTTTACCATCCTACCCGGCAAGGCCCTTTTAACAGAAACTGATAATATCAGTTACCTCACACAGAACGCATACATAAATCTTCCAATTTTTTCACAAAAATGATCTCAAATAGTAGACGCTACACGTCGTCATTCCTTCAAAACTCTTGCATATTTAGTGCTCTCATTAAAATTTTAATGCTCCGTACCCTGAAGAACTATATCATATTGTTCTTTATTTTGACAACCATTTTCATCTACTACTTAACTTAGGAACTGCTGTTCGAAGAAGATATTATTTTTAAGGAATATAATTAAAAATAATCCAAAATAATAAATGTTTATTAAAGATTGTAAATTCCACGAGTAGTAGAAATTAATTATTATTTAATGATGTTTCCACAATATTGTTCTGCGTTGTAATCATTTCAGAAAATGTCCTGTGAATGATCTTACACATCCACAAGCAGGGTGACTGTCATTTGGACAAATAATGGTACATGTTGAGTTCAATAAACCAGATTTTATAGATTCTGTTGGCAGAAAGATAATTTTTATGTATTTTTCCCAAAAAAGCACACCTTTCATGATAAAAAAGTTGGAAAAGAAATTTTCTTATTTTTCTTGAAATGAGTCTATGGTTTATAATTGTTTTTCTAAATTCTATAACATAAAATAGTGAAAGAAGATTAAGTTATTTTTATACCAAAATGCAAGAATATATAATAAATAATGAAAAACTGTAGTTAACAGTAAATATTTCCAGATGGCGATATGTTTTTATTTACTCGATAAAGAATGAACGCTAACAACATAAACTTGGACAATATTACCCCATTTTTAGTTTGGATAATGTCATAGTTGTTAGGTTGTTACGTTCTATATCAAAATAAGAATTTGTTCTTAATCTTACCTGGACAAACTCCATGACTGATGTGTTTATAATCTGTAAAAAAGTTTTAGGTTTCAGTTTACTGGTCATTGTAATAAACTTTCTTAATTATATTTCCTCATTTGTTAATATGGCACAAAAATTACTGTCCAGTTGTTTTTTTAATTGTGTTACACACCTTTTCCTGCGAGGCAATTCCACTGGACCAATTCACAGTTGTTTCCAAAAGTTTTTCTGATTCCTTCGCCATTAACGCCACAAACAGGTTCATACTCCTCAGTACACAACAAACATCTTTGGCCCCTCTTCAAAGGTCCTGTTAAAGAATAACTCCAGGTTTGAGCCACGAGAACGGCTCCAGTAAAATAAATCAAAATTATTACAGTGCCTTCTATTAGCTGCAAGAAAATAAATAGAATTTGACTTACCCAAAAACAATACCGAAAGAATCTTCATAGTATTTCCTTATAAGGGAGTTCTTTAATAAAAATAGAAGAACAAAGATTTACCTGCCTTTTATATGGTGGATGTAGAACTGATAATAAAAGTTAGGATATCAAAGATTTACCTGCCTTTTATGTAAGATTTGGAACTGATAATAAATGTAAGGAGTGGGAATAAAAAGCAAAAATATTTTTTTTAATAAAATTTAATTAGATTATCTCTTGAAAGACAGAATCATTACTTTATCAGAGATTTATTGGCCATGTTCATTTATTTTTCTGTACCTTATATAATCTTGCTTTAAATTTATTGTGTGTATTTTTAGCTCATAATGTTGTTAGGTACAAATAAGAAAAAAAATAGACATACCAAAAAATAATGGTGACAGATCCTTCATATTATTATTTATTAGTAGGACAATACTTAAACAATAAAATAACAAAGGTTTACTTGCTCTATATATCCAAAATTATGTACCTAAAATGTTGAACTAAAAATATAAGTAAATAACAAAAGCAGGAGTGATCTTGAAGAAAAAAGCGGTTTTGTTGACACTTGAGTGGATCATATCCTAATTCTAATAAAATACCTTTATTTATGAGGCATTGTTCAACATTATGAGTTAAGAATTTAAACCTGCTGTAATTTGTTATAATATTTATCATAATTTCAATAGAGAAAGTCAAACAATTCAAATATATAAAAATTTCCTAAGGCACATTATTCAACATTGTGAGTTAAAAATACCCATAATAAATTTAAAGGAAGATTAAATCAGGTGCAGAAAAATAAAAAATGAACATGGCCAATAAATCTCTGACAATAGAATGATTCTGTCTTTCAAGAGATAATTTAATTTAATTTTATTAAAAAAAATATTTTTGCTTTTCATCCCCACTCCTTACATTTATTATTAGTTCCACATCTTACATTAGTGGGCATATAAAAGGCAGGCAAATCGTTATGATTTTTTATTATTTAAAATCATTCTTATAAGGAAATAGAATGAAGATACTTTCGGTATTATTTTTGGGTAAGTAAATTTCTTTTTATCTTCTTGCAGCTAATAAAATGCACAATACTAATTTTCATTAATTTATTGGAGCCGTTTTCGTGGCACAAACCTGGAGTTATTCTGTAACAGGACCTTTAAAGAAGGGACAAGAATGTTTGATGTGTGCTCAGAAGTATAAACCTGTTTGTGGAGTTAATGGCGATGGAATTAGAAGAACTTTTGGAAGCCACTGTGAATTGGCCCAGTGGAATTGCCTCGCAGGAACAGGTGTGTAACACAATTACAAGAACAACTAGACAGTAATTTTTGTGCCATATTAACAAATGAGGAAATATAATTAAGAAAGTTTGTTGCAATGACCAGTAAAGTGAAACCTCAATATTTTTTTACAGATTATAAACACATCAGTCATGGAGTTTGTCCAGGTAAGATGAAGAACAAATTTTGATTTTGATATAAAGAGTAAAAACCTAACAACTACGACACTATCCAAACTAAAAAAATGGGGTAATATTTTCCAAGTTTATGTTATTAGCGTTTTTTCTTTATCGAGTAAATGACAACATATCGCCATGTATAAATATTTACTGTTAACTGCAATTTTTCATTATTTATTATATATTATCGCGTTTTGTTATAAGAACAACTTCATGTTGTTTCATTATTTTATGTTATAGAATTTAGAGAAACAATGATACTCTTTTCAACAAAAATGAGAAAATTTCTTCCCCAACTTTCTCATCAAGACAGGTGAGCATTTCAGACAAATACCTACATAAAAATTATCTTTATGCCAACAGAATCTGTCAAATCTCGTGTACTGAAGGGAACATGTACCATTGTTTGTCCAGATAGCAGCCACCCTTCTTGTCAATGTCTAAATTGATTCAGAGGACATTTTTGAAAATGATTACAACGCAGAACAATATTATTGTGGAAACATTAACAAAGATTGTTTAATTTCTATTACTCGTGGAATTTACAATATTTAATAAACACTTATTATTTTGAATTGTTTTTAATTATATTCCCTAAAAATAATATCTTCTTCGAAAGCGTTTGCCGGATTATGACAAGCTGGTTGTGTTTCGGATTTCCAATCTGAATATTTTCTGGTTTTTATTGACTAATATTAAGCGACCTTTTTTCTATTTTCATTCCAAGGTCTATAAGTTTATTATCCTTGTGAGTTTCAACACTGCCATATCTTCCTGTTTTCAGATCCTTGTGCGAGTACGTAACTTGTAAATGTTTAGGATGCGTTTAATTAGGAGTTCCTAAATTAAGTAGTAGATGAAAATAGTTGTCAAAATAAAGAACAGTATGATATAGGTCTTCAGGGAATGGAGCGTTAAAATTGTAATGAGAGCACTAAATATGCAAGAGTTCTGAAGGAATGATGACGTGTAGCGTCTACCCGTTGAGATCATCTTTGTGTAAAAATTGGTACATTCATGTAAGCGTTCTGTATTAACTACTTAATACTATCAGTTTTTGTAAAAAGGGCATTACCGGGTAGAATGGTAAAAGTGCCCTTAGCTCTTTTGGAAATCGATTGTAACCATGCTGTAGGTAATAATAAAAAAGGCTTCTTGCCAAATTTTTAGACCCCGAAGTGGTCACGTCACCACGGTCAATAAATCTCTGATAACATAATGATTCTGTCTTTCAAGAGATAATCTAATTTAATTTTATTATACATGGAGTACGATTTCGACCTACTTAGGTCTCATCAGCACGTCATAAGCGACTCCGACAGAAGTGCATTCTTTTGTGTGCAACAAGACAGTATTTTATGATTTACTACAAACAGCGTACTTAACACCATCTACCGAACATTGCTACATTTTTTAGGATTCTAAAATGTTCGATAAGTATATTAACGATTTGTATACAGGTCAGAGGTCAGTATTCTATCGAAACAACTTTGTTGATCTGTTACATGTCTACCACGTAGGGGTAGCTACGCCATGAGTTCACTTCAACAAGTCGATAACCTTAACGATCTTCTCGAACATTTTTGAATCCTGAAAATGGATCAATATTCAGTAAGCTTTTATTTTGTTTTCAAAACAGCGATTAGTAGCCGTGGTCATTTTACAATATAGCTATAGTCCGTCGAGCCTTCCTTCAGATTTCAGCACGGCATCAAGAGTTTGTGAAACAAATCTACAAAAAATTAAAAAATTTTCAAATAGCTTGTAGAATCTCTAAAAAGTTTAAATGTTTATACGTTACCCACAGATCTTTTGTGACCTATGGCATATTGTTCTGTATTTTGACAATAATATATCTATCTACTACTTAACATATGAATTAGGTACTAATTAACCGCATTCTAAACAATTATATTATTCATTAGGTAATTTTAGGAGGAATTCAAGAGAACA